TCTAAAATCGGAGGAAGGCAAAAAATATAGGTAGTTTCCATCCACACAAGCATTTCAAGAAGACTTGCTCGAGCCAAACTAAATGAGCATCGTCAGGTGATCGGTAAGGCTGCAAGTTGAATTCAGCCCTGCAACCTCCTGCATAGAAGATAATATTAATTAGTGGGCTATGAGCTAAATTTAAACAAACCTATCTACGATGCATTATGTACCAGCAATGTTACCTACGATTAACTGAATATGTAATATGTCTAATAAATTCACCTACAAAAGCAAGTTCGATAGGTGCAAACTTTGTGTTATGGAATTGTATCGCAGCACAGTTTTGTATGACACTCTCTTTAAATGAAATTTCAATGATTAAGCGCAAACATTAAAATTACTAACTTTGAACTTTGTCATTATCTGCAAAATGTTCCATACAAATCTTTCCGCTATCGCGTTTGTAATCTTCTCTGATAAAAAAAAACGTCTATGATGTCCAGAATTGCTCTTTACAGCTTGCCTGTTATTCCAGCTTTCCAAGTAAGCAAAACTTCTTAGATATAGAGATTATTTTGTTTCGTTACAGGCGCAAAAAGGCAGGTACTACACGTAAAAAAGACGCCGAGTAGCAAAAGCGAGCGGAAAACGGACGGGAAAGGCGACGAGAAATATGTGCATTGGAGCGTATCATGAAATACAATGTTTTGCCTGTAGTCTTATGGAGTGACGTCAGAGTTGCCTATCATGTTGTTTAATGTCATTGGTAACATTGACTCCGTTCAATCGCAATGCTGACACTCCGATTATTTTTAAAGATAAAATCTCCTGAAAAATCCGTAAATCTGCTGTAAATTCTCATGGAGTAAAATTTATTTCAGTACAATAAAAATTGATGGATATACTTCGGAATAATTATCTTATATATCATCACAAACCGGGAAAAAAATCGCGTTTTCAACCTTGTTTAATGATAACAGGAAAATTTTCTACGACAATTTTAAAGTAATGGATAAAAGGCAAATCCCACCCACAATTAACCGTGTTTCGATTTTAGTGACGGTATGTTCCTAAACGGCGACCAAACATAATGTGCGCCGTAGGCACACGAAATTTTGCGACTAGAAAGGCGTTTTTAGACTGTCCGGGACTCAACAAAACTTATATTGTTTACGGTTTCATTTTCAGTATTTTATAATGCCGCTTTTCAATCAGATTTAGATCGCGGTTTTGCTCCTTCTTTTGTCTTTAGAACCTCGCCACCGATGAACGTATAATAATTCACAATTCCGTGCAAAGTACAAAAATAAAATAATTATCATGTTTATCGTGGCACAAATTTATGATTTAGGAAGAATAAAAACCGACGTAAGGCGTTTACGGCCTAAATAACACGCTGATGAAAACATGGGCGATTTTAGCAGAAGGCAATTGCACGCTTTTTCAGTTTTCACATTTCCGTGCGGGTACAAAAATAAAATAATTATCATTGTTCCCGCGGCACAAATTTGTGATTTAAAGAGAATAAACATCAATGTAAAGGGAGTTCACGGCATAAATAACATGCCGCGTTGATAGGAAAACGAACGGCGATTTTAGCAGAAGGCAATTGCACGTGTTATCAGCAACTTTTCACTTTTCAGAAAATTTAAAAGGGAGGGGTTTCGACCCCCCCCTCCTGGCTGCGCCACTGGAAGCCCGTATGGATATTTATGCAGAAAAGTTACCCAGAATCAGTACGAAATCTGCCTGTATAGAAAGGCCGTCAGTATGAATCGGAAACAGCTAGTGCACCAATTATACATTTTAAATTATTTTTTGACTCGATATTTTGGACTATTTTCTTGACCCCATGCAGGGTTAATTATGTGTGTATTGCTTGACTCCTCGTCCACCGTAGAATGGTTCATGTAACCGCTGTTCGGTTACGGCTTCCTTCACTGCCTAGTCCATGCATCTGAAAACAAATACCTGGCTAACTAATCCCATAGGACCTATACCCGACATGGACTAGTAACTGGACGAGAGGCCGTGGTTTGCCATATGATTAAGAGGTATTATCGGCTTTCTTCTCCCGGGATAAATATGTATATTCTATCCTCATGCATCAAATAGTTGCGAAAACCAATATTTATGCGAGCTAAAGCGATCCCTCTAAGGCTAAACACCTTACAATTCCAGAAATGGAGAAATTTTCTGGCCTGGTCGTTTACGTGCTTATTTTTCGTCTACCGAGAACACGTATGTTTTGGACTGCGAAAACAAAAATCAACTGGGTCGCCGATGCAATGATGATCGATCGAGAAAATAAAAAATGTTTTATTGCAATAACAACGAGTTACCTCATGGCGATGCTGATTTTTGTCAAGATAGATTGGTCAAAATCAGTCCCCCATTAGAAATGCCTGAAGCACAATTTATACTATTGCATCGAGAACTATTTTTATGTATTGACAAGCAGATGATTCCGTTTACTGGGAAGTCAGGGCTGAACCTGAAACAATATCTTCCCAAAAATTAGGTTATCAAATCTTTATGTTGTGTGGAACAGATGGTTTGGTACACAACTTTAAATTATAGACAGTACTGGAAACAGTACTGGAAAGATACAGTACTGGAAACTGGAAAGATACATCCTGTGTCTGGTTACCCTGATCTCGGAGCTAGTGCCGACATAGTCATCAAAATGACTGATAATGTAGAGAATGATGTGGGAAAGATTGGGACACTTTTTTCTTGTGTATATTTTGAGACCTACACAGTATTCTGCATATTTATGTCAATTTGCGGGGCTAGTGCAGAGGAGTGAATGTAGTTTTTATTCAGCGACTTCGCAACACAAATTTTACCACAAAATGCTTTGAAAATCGTTTGTCCAGTGCCCCATTGTACCCCACCTGTGGGGAACATTCGGACACACTTTGGGGTACAACGGGGCATTCTGTTAAATTCAACGAAGCATTTTTATCTAAAGAATGGAAAATTTTGAATTTAGGAATTTAATATTTTCAAAATCAATGTTCAACCAAAATATTTCAGATATTTTCCACAAAATTCTTTAAAAAATTGTCTGCATTGGCAACATAAATCCCATTGGTGCCATTTGTATTTACAGATTTTGTCTTACAGACTCACTTTTTAAATATTTTAGATTCCTATTATTAAATCTGAAATAAATTTATTGTTTTACGTTCGGATTATGCCCCATTTTCAATCAATTGAAATTAGCTCTGAAACTTCCATTCCCGACGATGGCAGCTATCGACCTCGTGACGAAAAAAATTCTCATATATCCTATAGGCGTTTGATCATATTTACGGTTTGATCAAATAAATTCGTATTCTACGGCCTTGAATCACCAAATAACCGAAACGGCGATTTTTTATCTCCTGGCGGAAAAAAAATCCGGCATTAAGTGGTTGTCTGTGGCATTCTGTGTTATTTCCACACTACATATTATTGTTGGTTGTGAAACTTTTATTCTCTCTTTGATATTGTAATTTATACTTGGTAGGACCGTCAATGAATACTATGATAAGTTCATAAATTTCACGAGAACAGAGTCCCTCGTGAATAAACGTGAAATAAACACATATCTAGTAAGTAGTACGACATGGTTTTGAGTTGCAGTCAATTTGATATCTGCGACTTTTCCAATCTCTGTGTCCAATAGCTAATATTTATATGCCACTAACTGCGCATTTTTCTTCCTTGTCAATTCTTTGATATTAACTTCAGCTTTCCGGCACACATCGGGATTCCGATCACCCATTTGTGCATTTACTTGACAAGCCTTGTATAAAACGACATACGAAATAGATCGTTTTGTTGTTCTTGTCAGTATTTTTTTGATTGTTTGACTGTTCTGCAGAGCCTGGATCTATTCTCTTGTCGTTTTTGCATTCGCTTGGATTAAATCGCTTAGAGTCAGCCAACTAATATCTGATCGGTCTTATATTATGAAACACGACAACAACGCTCAAATTTACGAACACAATAGTCAAAACATCCCTCATTTTTAAATAAATCTTGAATGAGGTCCAAATACCCCGAATATTCGAAATTTCACACAAAGATTACCTGTAATATGGAACGCCGAGACGTAAATAACCAGTTATTTCCTTCATCGGTACAGTACTTGAATCCCAATACTAAACGCGACTAGTAGCGTGACTGAAAACGGGCCCACCGCACCGTATCCTTAATTAAGTATTAGGATTTCCTAAAAATGTAAAATCACTTTCAAATCATCTTCACGTATGACCTAATTTAAACAGAAGCGAAGAATAGTACCAGATGGCGGCCTTCGCCTTCAAACTTGCTTCTGTACGCCTCGGCGCGCGGTTCTTACAGATCTTTTCTCAACACTGTACGAAGTTTGTCGGTTGGCGGCTAGTTTTTAGAGGCGCAGTTCTTACTACTTCGTAGCAGCTCCTGCCACGAATGTACCGCGGCGTCTCTTGCCATGGTTTATCGTGCTATTGCCGGTATATTTACAAAGTCATGTACAATATTTTAGTTTATCATGCGGAATTATATCTACTTAAACCTAACCTCAAATACATCAAAACTGTAATCATATGAAAGCAAAATATGAAGCAAAATTGGTGTATTCGATTTGCTTCTGTAACCACGGCAGCCCGCTATTGGTTTGTGGCAACTAAAAAGTCAGTCGCCGTAGGTTTGTTACAGTATACACCCACCTCAATGGTTTGGTCATAGCGGCCATGGTCTGGAAATCCCGCCATGGTTTTGCGGCAGCTCTAGACGCCACTAAATACCTGAAACTGCACTTGAGTTTTTATGGACTGGGCGTCGCTGCTGGACGGTAAAGAAGACTTTGCAGGCATAATGTCACTTTGGGTACTGGTACTGTTCTAGTTTGTTTGACCGGTGGTGCGTGGCATACCGGTGCCGGTACCGGTACCGTATTTGTTGAAGGTAATTTTTTGAGTTGTAGACTACCGTATTATTTTTCTTGTTTAGGCCATAGATTAACAAATTTTATTGAAACCAAGATGAAAATATTATGTGCTGGATTTTGGAAAACTGGAACTAAAAGTTTGGCACAAGCATTGAAGATACTCGGATATAAAGTTTATGACTATGATGACCAATTATTTCACTTTGAAAATTTATGGAAAAAATTTTTTGATGGAACAGTGACGGATGATGAGATTAGGGAACAACTTGCAGATGTTGATGTGTTTATTGATGGTCCTGTCATTGCATTTTGGGAGGAAATCCACCGAGCGATTCCGGAGACAAAAGTTATATTATCAATTCGCGATGAAGATTCCTGGTTTAAGAGTTATACTGGTATGATGACAGGTTCTCCAATATGGGTAAAACCTCTGTTTTTATCTATGTTTATCACTCCTACAGGACATGCTTTTATGCGTAATGCTATGCGAGTTTTTCATTTTTGCCAAGGTGTTGAAGGGCCTTTTGTATTACCTATGCTGAATTTAACTGATAATCCAAGGCTATACAAGGCTCAGTTTAGAAGGCATAACTGCCATGTAATACATACTGTCCAAAAGGACAAACTTCTTGTTTTCCAACTTTCTGATAGTTGGGAGCCCTTGTGTAGATTTTTGGGGAAAAAAATTCCAGAAGGAATTTCATATCCCCATAAAAACAAACTTGGCGCACATTTTAAATCAGACGGCGGACCTGGGAATCCTAAATTTCAGAGGGCAGGCATTGAAGCACTAATAGTTTTATCTATTATTGTTTGTGTTATTGCTTATTTAATATATGCTCTTGTTTCAAAATGTCTTTACTAACCAGCAGGGACATGCCAAACTTTTCTGCTGCCCAGCGCCAGTTTCTGATAATATTGCCCCTTATACCTGACTTCAAAAATAATTTAGGAATAAACAAATTATAGATGTTGTTACACATGGGAATGAATAAATTAAAGGACAAGTGAGAATGAAATGTTCAAAATAATAGATCAAACTCAGACTAGGCCCCCAGGAGGACTACCACTTTGGCTTTCCTCTGCTAATCAGTATTTAGAAAGGTTTTGTGACACATGTACACAGGCCAATAGTTTTTGGCACCTTGCACAAGTCCGGCTGTAAAAATTGGCCAAAATTATTGTTCGGCAAAAAGGGTGTATTTACTATTTTTTGTTCGTGTACTCTTTTTATTTAATAGCGTAATGGATAAGATTAATGGAACATATCAGCTCTTTAAATAAATCATTAGTTTATGGGATCAATATTCAAATACCATATTTCCTTCTAGCAGCAGATTATAATTCAAGCATATTCATGTATTCATTTTGGGATAAATTGTTTTAACTGATATATTGTATGGATCTCTTAGGGTCGTAGTCAGGATTTTTAAAAGGGGATGTTTCAAGGATCAGGCTGACAAAATCAATCAGTAATTTTAACAAAATGCAATCGCACACGATATTAGCGACTTTTTCAGTCTTCCAAGAATTTCCAATGGGGGGTGTTCTAATCCCGGATGTCTCCGTATGAATTGTTATCTAATATTCTAGGATAAGAATAGACAAATTGCAAATATTCTGAACAGACATATTTTTATGATATATAGCTATGAAATTAAGGCAAAAATGAAGAAAGGAACATTTAATTTATGTACCTGAAATAATCTGATTAAATTAATCCTGGGATTTAATTTCTTTGGACATGTCTAATCTAATTATTACAAATTATTCAATTATTTTGAAAAAATGAAAATTTTATAGCTGTGAAAGTGAAGATATTGAATAATTTGCATATGCATATTTTCTGAAATGCCTGTACAGGATCGATTTTATAGTCACATCAATTCCACAGATTCCAAAAAATGATTATTTTAATTTTTGTTTTGGCCCGATGGACAAACATGTCATAGTAGACATTTGTATAGAATGTAAGGCATTGCTATCCTTTCTTATTGCAATTTAAACAATCATGTATTTTCTGATGAAATTGATTTAACATTTTTACTATATATATGTCATTATTTTCATGCTTATGGTGCATGTTTTCTAACTTTATGTTTTATATATAAATAATAGAATATAATTTCTATATAATAATATTAATTCTATTAAATGTGGTTTCTAATTACCGTAATCATTTGGGATACAATGATAACTTGACTTTGGGGTTTATATATATATATTTTTAAATGCCATTATAAATAGCACTGAGTAATGTATATATAATTTATCTGTGTTGATACTGCTATTGCAAAATCAATGATAGGCTTGGGATAGGAGTCATACGACTAACACATAAATGGAACTATTATGCCTTTGAAGGTTGCCTTTACTTCCTCTATGTTATGTAGTATGATGAAACAATGTATGATTCATAAATATTTTTTGCTTAGTATGAACCTAAGATGGGCCATGCTACTTCTTTATTCTTGTACATACTTATGTATAGAAAATCATCATATGTGTGCCATATAGGTACTTATTAGCAGTCATTGATTTATGACTGAAATATATAACAAGCAGTTGATTAATTATATGGTATTGAGTAATCTGCTGGACTGGCTGATCTGTTTACCAAAAACTGAGGTGAACTTTGGACTGTGCTGACTGGAAGATAATTTCCTGCATAACATGCCACACAAAGAAGTTTTAATCCATTACTATGTCTCACCTTTGCATTTACATAACAATGGCTTATCTGTATCATCGCTTTCTTTCAGATTTACTTAGTTTTTAATAGACATTACTTTGTAGATTATATAAATTAGTAGTTCAGTATGTCAAAGAGAACAACTGTGAATGGAGGCAATCAAGATATGGATAAAGACTTGACTGAAGAAAAATATAAATTATTGCATAAGGGTGGCGGACAAGATGACTTCATACACGCACCGATAGACAAACTTGGAGTAGCTGGTCGTTGGCTGAGGCATAAACTACTTGATGGAATCTTGGTTGGGACTCCAGTACTCCAAACTATTCAGAAACACCGGACACCTATGCGAACCTTACTTATGAAGATGATTAGTTTTTTAGGCACAGAAGACTTTTACACAGTGCTTTTTCTTCTGATAATATGGTGTCTTGATGGCAGATTGGGACGTTTATTTGGAGTGTTAATGGGTATTGGGTTTTATGCAGCTGGATTTTTCAAGTCACTACTTTGCTTGCCACGTCCTCCTTTTAACAAAGTCAAACCAGAAGAAAAGGCATACGACTGGGCTTTGCCTAGCCATCATTCACTACTCGGCACAATTTTACCTTGGTATATTTGGATCTACATTAATGTTCATCAAGAACTGTCATCAGTTCAACTTACCTGTTTGTTCCTTGTTATCAGCTCATGGTCTTTCAGTGTGATGTTCAGCAGGCTATACTTGGGAGTCCACAGTCCAGCAGACATCGTATCAGGTGGTTTTGTGGGTGTACTGGTTTTGAGTTTATGGCTCCAAGTTGATGATATTGTGGATAACTTTATTAGTCAACAAAAAGTAGAAAATCCACTTCAATGCGTCCTACTGTTTGCGGCTCTTTTGTATCTTCACCCTAAATGTGATCCAGGCAACCCATCTTTTACGGACAACTGCTGTCTTGCTGGAGTAGTCACTGGTTTAATTATAGGTCGAAGCCAAAGAAGCAGACTTCTTGGATTTCCTTCGCTACTTGAAACACTGCCATTAGACACACCTCTTTCGAACTTCATATTTTTAACATCAATGCGACTCATTGTTGGAGCTATTTTTGTCTTTGTAGCTCGTACCATATTGAAATTTATAGTAACGACAGTTATAGAGATTGTTTTCAAATTACTAGGATTGCAATTTTACAGTAGTTCTACATACAGAGATGCAGGTCATACAAGGTTTAAGCATTACAATGAAAATTTTCGGCTTCCTCCCATATACATCAAACAAGCAGAGAATGAAGATGATGAGTTATCTTCATCCGATTCAACTAATTCAATTTGTAGCACATCAAGTTATGAAAAAACAACAGAAATGAATCCTGCTTTATGCTGGGATGTGGTTGTACCTTCTAAATGCATAGTTTATGCAGTCCTCACTTATTTGGCAGTTGAGGTTGTACCGCAAGTCTTCATATTGATTGGCCTGTAGTGAGAACTCTTTACTGAGTATGAAACACAGTAATTAACTTCTTTAAACTTTTTTGATGAAACTGTGTCATTCAGAAACATCCTGTAATCTAGTCTAATTATGATTTTTGTACATGATGAATTGTTACCTTATTATTGTTTTTTTGCATTGCACATTATAATTTTGTATGCTTGCAGGAAATTTTGGAAACACTGTATCATGTGCATGGACCTATCTTTTACATCTTTCCTCAACTTATTATCTGATAGTTGACTATATATTATGTTCTTGGGAAATTTGAGAAAGTCCTCGCGTAGTAATATGTTCGTAATGTCAAAAGTTCAACATAATAACACCCTACACACTCATACACTCTATCCTTCATGACAATTTTAGTTTAAACCATTCACTAGGTTTCTGTGTGTAATCCGAATATATAGAAAAAATTCTGTGGGGTAGGTGGGTTCCAATACGGGTTTGAATTTATATAGTAAAATCCATGCCATGGTACATTTTCCTTTTGTGCTTACCTTCTGCAATTTGAAGTTTATGTTGTGTGAATATTTGGATTATTAAAATAATGTTAATAACCTTAGAGTTTTAATCTAAATATTGTAATATTTCCACTGGTAAAAATTGACAAATATATGTTTCTATATATACATATTATCTGCTAAATTTCCCAAATTATTATTCAGCCATAAATCATTATTCAAATATGTCCTATAAATTATTTGGATATAGCAGCCGCCAACATGACTCTGTTTATATATACCGTATATCGAAGGTTTTGTAAGACTTGGTCTATTACAAAATTAATTTAAATATATGTCAACGTTGTATGAATTTTGTTCTGTAATACTAAATACAAACAAAAAAGGGTAGTGTATTAACCTTGCTTCAGGGTGACCCAACGAATACAGAATGTAGATTATTTAGTACCTATTCTGGTGAGAACATAACTTTTGGGCAAAGCGTCCTATAGTATTGGAACTTTTAGGTACAATCAATCAACCATACACAAACGAAGTTCAAGTATTAATAAATTTTTGTGGAATTAATAATAACCGTTATGGGTATTGTTTTTTATTTGGTCAATTTGTACCTTGCTAGTTTGTCATTCTGAACTCTGCCAGTTCACAGAGTCAGATAATCAATCGATTCAATGATCAATATGAATTATTAATATATTTAGTTTATAAAGGTTGACTCCTAACTTTAAACGTGTGATAACTCCAGTAGCGTGATATTCCTAACATTTTTTTGCTATTTGTCAAAATATGGACTTTGGAATGTATAAGCATGTAGCCATAGTTCAAGATATAAATAGCAGGCTAATTTGAAACATTATTCCAATAACTAAGATAGTGGTTTAGGTTTATCTTCCAAAATTTTAGTTTATATCTTCACTCATGGAAATGATTGCAGCCTGCTCGCTTTTTCATTGTTATAAATCGTCCTTGAGTGTATATTTATTCAAGAATTGATAACTTTAGATGCCTATATTGACAACTGTTGATTGTTTTGAAGCACTATTTTCATAGTACATTGTCAATGCATCCTTGACATTTCAGAAAATATGTGACATGTACATTTATCAGTGTATAGCTAACAACTATTGATTTTAAAACTAAATCATGAAATTTTAATGCAATTGTAATCATTTTTACACTGCTCACCGTTCCCAAACAACTTTTTTAAACTTTGTCTGGTTCAAGCATTTCTCTCTAGCGCTATTTCCATTTTGCATAGCCCACAATATTTGATATTTAAAGTTCGATTACAATCTTCATTTGATTTTGTATTATAAAACGATTAGTAGCAAATTAAGACTGATTCAACTATTTTAAATAGTTCAAAATTGTATTGGTTATTTCTGGCCTGGACTTCATATCTGCGTTGCTCAGGAATATTTTTTTGTTATTGCGTAGACGCTGAGTACCAGTAGTCTTGAAATTTACTGAGTACTGTTCATAGAATAATAACATGCCTAATTATGAAGTAATTATGTGCAAGAATATTTCCTGTACGATCACAGACATGGTGGTTCATGTAACCGATTTGGGCAAATTCCATTATGGATTACCTGATCGGCTGATCCAGGAAGATTTTTTTCTTTACCTTTACTAAGATACAACTAACACCGAACGAAATTTATTGCTTATGAAATTATAAATTCTTCTCTTGATTTTCATCAATATTGACTTCACTGGTGAATTGTTTCCAGAGAGCTATTTGCATGGTCGTCTTATATATAATAAGTTTTTTTTTGCATTCAATATTAGGACTATTAAAAACACTTTGAGTGTGCATCCGGTGTATTGAAATTTCCTTTGGCTAGACTAGATTGAGTAAAAACGTAATTGAGTGGGGAATGCTGTCAGGGTTTTGCTATTGTAAAGCCTCCGTCTGGTTTCACAATATATATTTTAGACTGTAATATTTGCATTCCGCACCTCTCCTGTAAATGAAAGTCTCGAGTAAACACCAATGCAAACACCATTGGCTTTGTATTCAACTTGTTTCATCTTCTGTTTGGACGATATTTCAGGCAAAAGTGACGAAAAATTTAATGCATTCTATGTATGTCACAACGAATAAACTCAGTTGCGACATCAATTTGATGAAGTTATATTCGGCGAAACATACATTTCAAGTATATTTGGTGCGATTACTCAGATGCTATAGTACTTACATTCCCTTAACTTTTTCATCTGAAAATGACCTTGCAGTTCGTTACATCGTAAAAGTTGACAAAATTTATCGCAGCGAGTTACTTCCATCCATATCAAATGACCATTAAGGGATTTTGTGATACTGAGAAGATAACGCTGGATATGGTAATATTAACAATATTTAACGCAATGAATGTATTGGATGTTTTCCCTGTAACCGTATTTTATTCCTATCGAGAGTTGAAGAATTTGGCCAAATATTTTTAACCCGAGCGGATAAGACTTTTCGTAGCACGGATTTCAGAGCTTAGACCAGCGGTTCCCAAAGTGGGCGAAAACGACTCCATGGTTTGCAATAACTTGGGAGGCGCTGATGACAATTCTGGGCTCTGGCTGTCAAATTGGGGGGGGGGGGGGGGGGGCGCTAACATCAATACGGGAGCTCACAAGATGTATGATATTTTATGCTATTTACTTCTATGTTTTGGTTCAAACTAGTTTGCTTGTGATTTCGGCGTTGGAAATTTCTCGCTCAACGTAGAATAGGTATTATGACTTTTTTAAATCAGCATTGTTTCACAATAATACATAGCGCATACGGTATACGCTTCTTTCACCCTGCATGTTTCGTTGTACTGTTTTGAATAACAGCTCCATTTTACTGTCGGGTTCTATGGTACTTTGAAGCGGTAGTGTAAGTACAACACCCTTATGTTCTATTTTTGATTTTGTTAAGAGCAAAATGTGAGGGCATCTGATTGAGCTGACGTACGCCAGATAGGACCATCTCCATGTTGCGATTTACCTGAATCATTTTTATTTCTTGGGCTATTGTATAATAAGGCTACATAAGTAATACATAAATTGACAAAGAAATAGCCTGTTGTTATATCATGTTGTGTCTGACATTGTTTAATATCGGTTTATCATTTGTGTTGCATGAGTTCAAAATATCGAATACAGTTACTTAGGCAGCATGTTTAACTAGGCTTACCATACGTCCCGGTTTAGCCGGGACAGTCCCGGATTTGACAAGCTGTCCCGGCGTCCCGACCGGTTGACTCAAATGTCCCGGTTTGTCAGCACGGTTTTCATGGGTGAAAAATTCAAATTCATTATTATTACAATTTTTTTTTTAACGGTGACAGCCCATTTACCACTGTTTTGCGACACACTTTGCTAGTTCAGAGAGAGAGAAATCGCTCTATTGTTATGTCACAATTGGTATATGTTCTAATGCGTTTTCTGGCGTTAACTGCAATGTCGTTAAGTTGTCGAAATGCCAAAAAGAAAGTACGAGTTTTCTGATGAGTTGAAGAAAGATTTACCTTATTTGAAGCAAACTGAAGGAGGAAAGGTACACTGTACGCATTGCAGATCTGTTTTTCTATTAGTAATGGCGGACGTTCAGATGTCAACGATCATATCCAAAGCAGGAAGCACAAAACATTGAGGCATCGACTCGACTGACCAATTTTGCGATAACAAATTCGGATGATTCTGTGTCGTTGGCAGCCGACATTTACCTATCACACTGCTATTCAGGACCAAAGTTTTGACTGCACCTCTAAATTAATTTCAAATTTTTTTGAGGCTAAATTTGCATTAACTTGTAAATATACACAATTAGAATTTCTGATGTCCGCTGTCTGATAAGCGGATTCGCTGATTTTGCACGTTTAGCCAGAAATAAATGAGAGGTGGTGCATTGCTCCGCTGTTCTCCTCTGAATTTAATGATGATTTACTTCAAGCTCGAATGGCAACAAAACGAAGAAAAGTTGATGCTAAGTGCAAAGGGTTCAATGGCGCTGAAAATATTCAAATGGAATTTTTTGAGACGCAATGAGGAAATAAATCTATATTCTATTCGAGAGATGTATCACTGCTTGATTTTTAATATAAAAAGTATCATCCGTTCACTGCGTTCAGTTTCAACTTTCTAAAAATATGTGCGGCCCGCCAAGGACTCGCAACCCTTAATTTTGGGCCGCGGGCGACAAAAGGTTGCCGACCCCTGCCGTAGATGTTGCAAATATTCTATCAGAGGTGAAGCTAAATTTGCAGGGAAAAAATTTGTAATTAAAAAGAATGTTTGCGATTTTTACGAGAAATGTCTATCGTATATAGAGCTGCACGATGAAGCCTACAATGCTGCCAGGCCACACATATGGACAAATTTGAAGAGTGAAATAAACTGGACTGAAGTGTTTGGTCTGCAAAATTGATAAATGATATGTTTGGTTAGCTGATCAGGTTTTGAATAGCGATGCACTTTTCGACGAATACTGATAAAGATATATTTATCCGAGCATGGTTCAAATGCAATTTGACTCACTTTGCCGGTTGAAATTAAGTGGACAGAGATGTTTAACGTTTTTTCTAACAGAAATATTAGCATTTCGAATTTGCAGCAAATTGGTTGATTTTGTTTTTCGGAACATCGGCATCTGCTAACAGGATTTATTTTTTCCAGTGTTAAAAAATTTTGGTCCGAAAGCAGGTGCAGAATGCCAGAAGAAAATATAAAACCACTCCGTAACCTGCAAATTTAATGGTGATGTCTCTTGTTATCAGTTTTATGACAAAATCAAAACAAGAATTTTTGAGAAAGGTTCCATCTGCGGACAAATACTTTTGGTCTAAATGAATAATACAAACTAATTTTTTGTGTTTTTTCCAATTCAATGGTCAGTAGAGATTTACAGCAATATATACCCGCAATGGCATGGTAGACGTTCCAATATTATCAAGACTGGCAATCGACCGAATGTTTGCCAAATCGCACCGTCCCGGTTTTTTGTTTCAGATTTATGGTAAGCCTATGTTTAACCGATTCATATTAAAAACAGTATTATACAGCGTGGTCCCCAAAAAACGAGAACATCAATTTCTCGATTATTTATACGAAAATGGAGTGAATTATTTAATTTTGTCTACACTTGAACTTCTGTTTGCGTAAGTGTCGGAAAATCTAGGACGTTTTGCACAAAAATTATGTTGTTTCTAGAATAATGTTCTAAATGCCCTCCTCATTTTTTTGCAACATTGTCAATCACTTTTCTTTGGGTATTTCTCTATTTTATTTCTGCAATTGCAGCCTTGAGTTCACCAATCGTTTGAGAATTGTTCTGATACTAATTGTCCTTCGAACTCCATAAATATCGAAATTTGAGAGGTTTCAGTCCGATAATTGAGATGCCCACTGGATGTCACTGCTAATTTCTCTCTCAGAATATGGGGGTCCACCTCGTCATGCTTGAACCACTGCTGATCACAAACTAATTACTGCTGGTCTCGGCACAAACAGGTAATGTTCTGTATTCACCGTTCGAACTTTTTCATTTCCATGTCCTGATAGCAGAAGGTGCGCTTTAGCAGAAAACCAAGTGAGTGATTGAAATTTTTGAGTATAATCATACGCAAACAGAAATTCAAGCGCAAATAAAATTAAATAATTATTTTTGGAGATAATAAAGAAATTTTTGGTCTCCGTTTTCTAGATCAGGGTTACTCAAAAATATTTTTACCGAAGGTCCGCATACAAAACTTCAAAAATATTTGGGTTCGGACTTTCCAGAAATTAAATTTCGGCATCCTTTAAACATGCAATCCCCCGGCCGACTAATGATTCTTAGCTAATCAAGATAGTTTGTTATGACGTTATAGTTCTTTCATATATATTTTTAAATCTATAAAAGTGATTTTATAAAAGAAAATATCAAAAGTGGGGCTTAGGATCCAAAATAAAGAATTATGCGCGGTCCGAATAGAATACCCGAAAGGTCCGTTTTGGGCCGCGGTCCGCCAGTTGAGTAGCCCTGTTCTAGGTAACCCTGAATTTCCCGAAGCGAAAATGCACCACTACTTACTTTCAAACTCATGTTCAGTGAAACATCCTCACGAGTGGTATCACATTTTTGTGATTTGGAATAATACAAATGGGAAGCCCCTGGTTGAGTTATATATAATTATATTATTTCGTTGAGGATAATCTAATTTATTTGAGAGATTAAGCACATTGATTTAAATGCTAAAACTCTGTAAAACTTCGGATGCCCTAAACCAGGGGCGTGAAACGATCGTTAAAATTTTGTTAATTATTACCTCATTATAAGATATTGATTCATCTCGGCGTCGCGCAAAAACATACAGCTGAGGTTAGTGCTTCAAAAATTTAAAATAGGGAAACGACAGCGGCTTTTATCGCCTTGAGAGAGCGAGAGATGTTTATTATTTTGTCAACCAAATTATAAACAGTCATCAATACGACTTTTATTAACAACATAGTTATTTGCCTATACCAGCTTATAGACAAAAGTCAATTATGAAGTTATCTTTTTTTTATATATATGTATATTGCGTAATACGTTACGTACGGTTATGTCGTCAGTGCAATCATTTAAACCAAAGACGAGTAAGAAGGGTAAAGTGATAATATTTTGTAAGTATGCCAATTCAAGTCTGGTATTATCGTAGGATGACTCAGGATATATATATGCTCATTAAAATCTCAACAATTTCCTAGTGGTATAGGAATATGTAAATATAAACATGTTTTAACTTTGCACAGGTATAGTTGCATAAAAAAAAGTCGAGAGCTGAATACGAATGGTTTAGAACAGAATGATTTGGCAATATTTTTGGAACATTGTAAGCTGAAGTGAGATTAACAACCAAAGTAAAGTGGTCGTTATTAGGGCGCTCCAGAAGCATGTGTACCAACTGCCAATATGGAGGTAACTAATGTTTTTCGCCTATTTCACATCAAATTGTGTAAAGGGACTGAGGCCTAGGGGCAGGGGGTATATTCACTTGGCTAACACAGACAACATGCGAAGTGAACAACGCATGCCAAGGTCAATAACCAAAATATTTGTGCCTGCGGTTTTACCCAGCAGTTATTTGTATTTTGCCCTACTGTAATAAAGGTTGCACAACCCTTGCTCCCGAACAATGGCCGACGAACAGTGAGCCGTCGGCCATCGAGCACTTTTTTAGCCTTCAATAAATTTCAATTATGGCAGTGATACATAAAAAGCTATAAATCAAACATTGCAAGTATAATTTTTTTTTTTTGGCAAATGTTTTTGTTCATATCATCAAACGATACTGGCATTGCAACTATTCTGGTATGTTCATTCTTACGTATCTGGTTATTTTACGGAGTCATTGAAATTACACAAGCAAACCACTGGTACCGCTACGTTCAATTGTTTAATCGGGGCTCCCGAAGTATGCGAACCAAGATGGCGGACATCGGAATGTAATATGTGTACTAGGTTAGGGTTAGGTCATAATTTTAGGCATAAATACTACGGGAGGCTCTTGGCTAGTCTTCGAACTGATAATAGGACTAAAATAAGGAAAATTGGAAAAAAATTATCGCCTAACCCTAACCTGTTACCAATGTTACGTTCCGATGTCCGCCATCTTGGTTCGCATACTTCGGGAGCCCCGTTTAATCTTTGTATCGCAACGATCGCACTAGTTTTTAATTACAAATTAAATATTCCCTAATAAAGTTCATTACATGGTCAACTTTGAAATTTCCAACGAAATTGTTGGGTCTTGAAATATATTCCATTACACTATTTGGGCCTCACTTAAAAACTTTGCCGACCACTGCTCTAGAAAGTCTTTCAACTAAAAATAAGAAGTAGAATAGTTAATTAGTTATTATATTATAGATGAATATAAATACAGTATACAGACCAGGCATATTTTTACTAAATAGTTTGAATCTATTCTATCTGATGATGACGCATAAGAAATATTTTCTACCAAGTATTTCGGTTTTAACATTGTTCATAATTTCGATGATTATTACTGAAAATAGGAAAAATCTGTATGGTCACCCGTCCAACAGGTAGGTTGCGAAGCAAAGTGGGAATTAAAAATAAAACTTTTTGACGATTGACAATAATACATGTATATATATAACTTTGTTATTTTCATGAATAAGTTAGTTTTACTGTATAGTAAGTACTCAGACATAAATTGATTATCAATGTAAACGACTTTGTCATGTTACTTGCCACGAAGGTTACACTTTTGTTAAATTGTAAAATAAAAATTGTAAAAAAAAGTTTGCTAATTTCAAATTATACATGAAGTGTAGCCATTTATTCAACAAGTACGAATCGTCCGTTCCTAGATTGTTCATTTGTAAGCCACACTACTGATAAATGTTTTACGATGAGTGAGTAAAGTGTTCAGTAAATTTCGGTTGTACGAAAAACAATCTTTCTTTCGTACAAAACTTTTTATAACCAAAATTATGACAACTTGCAGTCAATACGATGTATGAAACTAAACATATTCCCAATTTGAAGAGAAAAAGGGAAATATATATCTTTTATGTTTCTGATTTGTACTGCATTACGATATAAACAGCTCCAATTTTTTTCAGAGAAACCATATGCAACCCAGCTTGCCAAATGCAACGGACCAAATCGATTAAACAGAAACAGAATATTATGTTTTTAAAAACTCATAAAACAGCAAGTTCTACTCTACAAAACATACTCATTCGTTATGCGTACAATAATGATCGTTTCGTCGGGCTACCACAGTTGGGACACATATTCGGAATGTATTCCGGAGCTTCATTTACACCGTCGATGATGTTTCCTTTACCAGAGTCGGGAAAAGTTAACATGTTACTTCATCACATGGTTTTTGATTACGAAGAGGTGATTATTCGTTTTGATTGAATATTGGATCAATCAGAGCAAAGTTTAACGTTTCAGTATCATGGGTCAATCATTGAATTGAAAACTTTGATTCTGGTTAGTAGTCGCAAAGCATTAATATCGGAGTTTTCCGAGAGCCATCGGTAACATTTTTGGACGCGGTTCCGCTGATGTCTTTTTGTTGATTCACCACTGTTACCCAGCATCGCAACTTACCCATTTGTTTCGGCCGTTTCGAGTTTGGTCACTGTTTCTTTGCCAATCTATCACAATTGTGCTATCTATGGCTATGTTTGAAAAGCAACAATTCTTATATTGAATATGCATAGGCTTTTTACTCGAGTAGGCAAACAGGTGAAAACTTACTAAATTATTGTACTTCATTAATCATGAGCGGATGAAGGCGCTCACCAGGACACAGACAAAAACTGTATATATATAGGTTTTAAAACTATTTCAATGGACTTAAAAAGAAGAAAGTTCTATACTTTTTCTGCGCAGCATGTCTTTGATATGTCGACAAGAAAGTATTATTGACATTGGTTTTGCAAAAATGTAATCTTGCTTTATAGACTATATCCAATGAAACGAATGACTGATTTCAGGTATCCATGGTTACTCATTTAAATATGATAACTTCAAAGTTCAATTTATCCACATGAAAATCAACTAACTAACTTAATTTTTAAAATTAGAACTTCTTAAAAACTTCCATGGAACTTAAGTATTGCAAATCTGTATAGAAGAATTGTTCGAAGTTTAATCGCAATAAAATGTTCTAAATACTAAAATAATTTTTAGGTATTTAATTAGCGATTTCTTGATAAGATTTCCGTCTGCTGTGCAGCCCAGTCGAATAAGATATTCAACTTTCAAGCCAAATATTCTTTATGTTTCAGGTTTCTTCAGTTTTGCCACCTGATTCAGTGTTCATTACTATTCTCAGAGAACCTGCAACACAATTTGAATCGGCGTTTCAGTTTTTTAAACATAAAAACGCTGCATTTGGAAGAGTTAAACATAAACACGCGATGAATGAATATTTATCAAATCCCTCAAGGTAGGTGATGAGATCGCAAAAAGTACAGATATGCAGTTTATGTTCAGCACGTTCAAAACTTTAAAATCTCTATTTTTCAAAGTACCGCAACGATTGGCCATAAATGGCCATTGGCCTTTTAAATGAATATTTTAAATGTACGATTTTCGAACTATTTTTGCCATTTCAGGCACACAATATCACAATATTTTTATCCCGTTAACAGAATATTTGAATGTATTTTCATTTCAGATATTTCAAAGGACCTAAAGATGGGCAATTCTGGGGCTTCGGAAAAAATAATGTATTTTTTGATTTGGGATTCAACAGCCTGTCTGATGACAACGAATATATATCGGAATCAATCTCAATAATAGAAAATAAATTTGACTTAGTTTTGATTGCCGAATATTTTGATACTTCACTGCTATTACTAAAAGATCTTCTTGGCTGGGAAATGAATGATATTGTGTATCTGTCTTTAAACGCAAGAGAAAGGAATACGGTAAGGCACTTGACCTCAGAAGACATCGACCTAATATATCAGTGGAATAAAGCTGATGTTGCGGTGTATCAGCATTTTAATAAAACAATCCGGCAACGGGTCAAAAAATATGGAAGATCAAGGATGAGGAAAGATTTAAAAATGTTTCAAACCTTAAAGAGCGGCGTTACCAGATTTTGTGTTGATCCTAACATATGTGGCAGAAAAGAATTGACGGAACATAAATATAAGATGTTCAATCCACGTGGAGTAAAAATTGCTCAGTATAAATTGAACGATCAAGCTATTCACAATGAAACTTGTCAAGAATTGATCTATCCTGAATATACTTGGTATCAGATATTATTAGACAAAGAATATCCAATGCGATTTGATTTATTTTCAAAATTAACTAGTTCAATCATATAGCTTTTTATACCTATTCTATAGCTTTTAGGGTTACCCAATAATTTTGAACATATTTTGGTGGAAGTTTAATAATTTTAATTTAATATGTATTATTGTGCAAAGCTTCCTAGATTACTGAAACTTTTGGGCGTGTTTATTTGGCAACGACGTGTCTTTCATTCAGTTGCAATGCAAGCCACTAATCAGACAATAACGTTAATCGATCCCTCTGATGAGGTAGACTATAATTAACGGAACCCCACAATGAATTCATAAAAAAAATTAAAATACATTGTTCCTTACCAATTAACATTAGACTAAACCAGACTGCATACCCTTTTATTGCTTCGATTAATCATCATATGTGGGTAGTTTTAGAAAATACCACAGAACAGTTCAGTGCATTGGTGCATAAAAAGCAACAACAGTCTCATTATCAAACGCGTGTACGTTTGTTTATTTGCTTTTTTAGACTATACTGTGACGTATCTGTGCGTTTTAAGTTCATTTCCTGGATGTCTGGTGGTTCATCGATGTACAATTTGTGCACTATTCAAGTTTGATTGGATTATAGAATGATAATCAAACATTAGCATTCATCTTCGTAACCGCAATTTCGCAAAATGTTCACCATCAGTCTAATCTAGGACCTATAACCTAACTAAGACATCAGGGATCAGCCGTTGTTGGGAATCACTGCTTCACGTATGATTCCACACTTCGTCAATTAAAAAGATGTTGCAAGCCTGTATATGGTGTTAGACCATTGGTGATATTCAGGGGATTCGCGCGAACCCGTGATAATCAGCGAACCAGTTCTTGTTTCAGACGTTAGACGACCGCTGAAAATTGATAACGTGCATCGTAGCTAAGAACTATTCCTATGTGTGTAAATATGTACACAGTTATCTTTTGTAATTTTGATAACCATGTTGTCAGGGGGCAATGATGTGGAGTCTGGGTGTCTTTGTTTAGAGTAGGGAGATGCAGAAACTTTTTACACTGCTAGATGCTTGTAAAAAGTCATTAATCAGGTATATACGAGGAAAAAATGCCAATTATACGAATACCTGTTTTTTTTTTTCAGGAAAATTGGTGTTTCGAAATAAAACGAAAACGCACGTGAGACCTTAAATGTCCCGGGTCCAAAAAAAGGCACATATATGTACACCATGTTAGGACCTACGTACTTCACAAATAGGATGATCACAGTATCTGATACCATTCTAGCTACGGTCCAGTTTCCACCAGGGTGTTATCTTTAGCCTCAGGGTTTGTATCTGAATTTGAATAAATATCGAACGTAAAATGACCTAAATGCTGTAGATATAATATTATATTACATCATTTTTATGAAACAAAACCCCAATTTTTGTTACCTATTTACAAAATACGAACTACATTTTAAATTGGTATTTGATGTTGCTTTTGATCTTGTATTTTCGGAAGAAGCGTCACCAAATTGAAAGAATCATAAAGTATAACATTTACATGCTATTATCACCTAGTGTCCTCGACCCGAATTTTATAAAATTCGTTGACATGAACGGCCACCCACATGCATATACATGTTGCCCAACATTGATGCCATTTTAAGGAATAATTGATCTAGTCGGGACACCATTTGCAAAGTTCGAAACTTTGAACGGTGAATATCACTAACCGTGTCCTACGCACCAGTGACTTAGTTCGGATTATTACGCACGTGAGTTCTGACTGCGTCGTCTTAATGCGGCGAGTTTTAACTACGACGACCACAATCGTCATTGCGGGCACAAAAATGAATCACATGTTATGTGCCTCTGGTGATATAGATAAAATACCAAACCTGTCGATTGCATTGGAACAAAACACGATCGACAATCGCAGAAACGAAACAGCAGATATCACAAAAGACGAGGGGGTTTTAGAAAATTTAAAGGTGCAAATTTTAAAATATGCCGCGGACGGGATGATTTCACTTGGCGAAACGAAGTTTGCCTGCCCCTGCTTCAGTACATAGAGACGCACAGAAAATGCAACATTGCTTCAACTTTCATATCCATGTACCTTATGTTCCAAGGCCAACAAGCTTGCTAATGCAGTTTATATATTTGAAGCGCACAGAATGATTATTTAAATTATGTACCGAAAGTGTTTGTGGTACTCGAAAGACCATAGTTCCGATTACTCAAAACCTTGATGCGATCCTGAAGCATTCATAATTGTTCCTGCTATTCTTTTAGTAATCAATTGAGGTAATTCAGTAATCAACTGACAATAGCTACCTTGACAAATAAACCACTTAACAATATACCTCTAGGCAGGACTGGCTTTAGTTTAGACGATGAGAGGCCCTGGGCTATGTTATTCGTCAGGCCCTCTATTAACAAATTAAATTTGTTTATTCCTCGTTTAAGATTAAAGGTTTTTCAAAGTCTGACAAATTTATTTATTCGATCGTATTTAATATTTCAATCTTTATATGGTAAATATTTGGGACAAGAATTATCAACCTGATTAAACAAATATCAGCTTTGTAAAATCGATTTTATGCTGGAAGCCTGGAACGATTTACAATTTAGAAACGATTTAAAAACGAAAATTAGTATAAAATTGATTGCTACCTTGCTTATTGGCTAATCTGGCTCTGCCTCCAGGCTATCTAGTAGGAGTATCGAGAACAGAATGATCACCGAGTGTTTGTGATTTCGCACCTTTATTAGTAGCTAGAGTTAACTAAGTCAAAGGACCGCGGTAGAACCTAGTGATACAGCATAAATAATCTACACGGGCTTCGCCGAGTATGCAGTACATAAATTTTTTCACGATTTAAAAATTCTTCGTATTTTAATACCAGGGGATAACTGAGTTATTTAAATGAGCTACGAACATCGAAATATAACATATATATACACGGATTTTATAATTATTTAACTATGGATTCTCGGACTTTTTTGAGCAAAGTCGACAGAAAGCCAGTTATATTGATGGTTTTGTTCCTATTCTTAACATATACGCTGTGTAATAGCATTCCAAATTTTGCTAGATCTGAAGCGAGCGTCCTGAAAACGTATTTGTTTCAAAATGTCTCAGCGACGGAAGATGTATTTCCACCTTTACCAGGTATATTTCAAAGCAAATGGATACAATATTTTCCATATATACAGTCAATGGAAGTATATTTTGAGGGAATGAATACACTTCCTCCACAGCCCATTATAACTTCTGCCAGAGAGACAAAAATTTATATCCCGAATAAAATATACAAATTAAACGATATATTCAAAGCCAAAATTAAAGCAATGGATTCCACAGGAAACCCCAAAAAATATGGTGGTGATTTTTTCCGCGTGGGACTCTATAAACCATTTAGAGATACTGATGGGGTTTCTTGTGGCGTAGTGGACAATTTGATCGGGACTTATGATATTTCGTGTCCTTTAGTCTGGGTAGGGACTGGAGTACTGAAAGTGACATTAATACATCCAAGCGAAAGTTTATATGGACTGATGTTAAATTCTTCTGGAACAAAAGAACACGGTGTTTCACTTCGAGCAACAGTGAAAATCAATGGACAAGAGGAGTTGACGGATTGCGCGTTTGGATTTCCAGGAAAATCAAAGTAGGTTCGCTCATTCGTATATGACGCCAAATTAATTTCTTCTTTAATTTACTAGTTTTCATCATTTAATAACAACTTATTTTGGAGTGTTGGTATATTCATTGAATATACATGCATCAACATACAGTGGTGGGATTCAGGTGGTTCGCACAAGCCCGTTTTGCAAGGTGACGTGCACGGACGCTGACGACCAGCGTTATATTTGGAGTTTCGGAAGTCATGTATAAAATTTATGTAAAGCAATGTCATTTTAACACAGCGTATGTAGTGACAAATACATATATATACAGTTTATGTAATGAGGAAATTTGTTGTTAGTGATTTCGATAAAGAGATAACTATATTCTTGAAATTTGGAATCCCGACATTGCATATACGTATATATGCAGTGGTGGGGTTCAGCCGGTTCGCACCGGTTCTATAGAACCGTCTCAGGGAATTTTATGAGATCAGCGAACCGGTTAGCATTACTGAAAAAGACATGACTTTTCGTAACAAAATCGGCTTAAAATAGGAACTTTTGTGATGGAACCGGCTGACAAAAAATCTGAATCCCCACACTGCATATATGTATTGGAAAATGTTGAAATTTTTGTCGAGGATTGTTAATTTTTGCAGACACGAAGTTTGTGATTACCCAACCCAAAAGAATGGAGATCCATGGTTCTGCATGAAGCCAAATCGCCAAATCAATGTTCAACGAATCTATGGATGGATAGATATTATGATTCTGTAATGATCAAAACTTGGGGAAACGACCATATTTTCAACAAGGAATAACTTGGAGAGTGAGAATAATGCAACCCAATTTAGCGGTGCAAATACAAGACGACTGGAGTAGACCGCGATTTTCTTCTCAACTACCGCCGTGTTCTGCATTGAAACAGGTTATTCTTAATAAAGACCCGTCAGTTGCCACCGGATTAGCTATAAACGCTGGATGGTCTTCTTTCATTTGTCGGAATTATCCATTCGATGAAAATAAATTCGCAAATTGTCTTCAGAACCATGAAATAATTTTAACGGGAGATTCCACTATGAAACAATGGTATAGATACCTAATTTCAGCTTTTGGCGCTGAAGATTATGGTCTGGGTGGTACGGATTCCTCGTGGGCGGAGAGGCGTATCGGACACCAAAGAAAAAACAATATAACCCTCCGATTTTTTCCGCATGGCCCCCCTTCTCATCATCCAGGACTGTCGGAAGTGAGACCATATATATCAGATACTTTAGATGACATTCCATCAAATAGAGACAATATTATATTTATATTTTCGATTGGACTGCACATGAATTTATTTCATCCAGATATATATTTACAACGAATCAGAAATATACATGCGTCCGCTGAAAATTTGCATCGGAGGTTGCCTAACGTAAAAATATTTGTCAAGGAGCTCCATGCACACTCTCAATCAACCAGAGTCTGTCCGTCAGATTGGTTTAGTTATAGATACAATGTTTTGCTGCGTCAAGTGTTTAAAAACGTTGACGGCGTGACTTATCTACCATTTTGGGATATGTCGGCTGTATACAATAACGGTCCATACCACCCTGGAGCACGATTGTTAAGATTACAGCTTGGTCTTTTTCAGTCTTTCGTTTGCAAATGAATATATTGTGTCATCTTAAATCAAGTGAGCCTCATCTTAAGTGAGCCCCATCATAAAAAGGCTCCATGTAAACCTTTCCAACGTTCACATTTCTATCAATTTAATCTTCAAGTTAGTTCTGCAATCGAATGGTAGGTATTTATCATCGCCTTTCTAATTCTTAGCCAAATTTATTCACCATTTTTTGTATATTTACGTTACACCATTATACCTCAATAATAGCCGAATATATTTCAATCAATTATATACTTACTATGCCTCCATATTTGAATGTATTTTGTTATTTCTTTTCGTAAGTCTCTTTCTAAATCTAACAATGACTATTCCGCAATATTCGTTATTTACTACCACAGCAACCCATTGGATAAAAATAATAATAACATCGCAGGCATTTGTTTCCGTGTTTTCTCTGTCAAATTTATTATGCCTATGGCGTTGCTGACTCGATGCAGTTTCTCGCCACCTCTTCCAATTTGATATTCGGTATATTTTCGTTAACTCTTACAAAAAGGAACAATGAATAGGAAACAATTAAAACGAATTGTTCTGCAAATGGTAATGCGATGTTGTGTCTGTTTATAGAAACAATTGGAACGAGGTTCCGTCGCTCCCTTTTTTGCTCTTAGTTTTAGTCAGAGCTCAAAGTTCGTGATCAAAGCGCCATGGAAATGCAAATGGCGAGATTATTTTGATGGCCTTTTCACCGATGCATGAATAGAATTTGTGAGAAGACTAAAACTTGTCCGAACTTACTGTTCTGCTGGCGCAAGTCAACGGGTAGAAGGTGAAATACATTAGGATATAACAATACTATTAGGCTATAACGTAATAATCAGTAATCCCCCTTACTACAACGGCAAGGCAAATGCAATAATATTATCATTCTACCATCTAACAAACTGTGCGGCTTCAAGTTTGGAAATTTAATGATTTTCAAATTAATGCTTAAATGAAATATTTTGGATCTTCCCTTCAAATATATTTTCTGCATTCGCAACATTCAACTATTTTGGAGACTTGCGTATCTAAACAATCGTTATAAAATTATTCTTGAATACTTTATATTCTTATGATTTAATCTAAGCTATTTTTTTGTTGATGCCTTATTTCAATTGGAACTAAGTATTGTAACTTCCATTATCGACAATGACAATCATTTGTTCATAGGGCAATAAACATCAAATACGGGTACAAATAATTTACTCTTTTGTATATCATTTAAAAAATTATTTTTGAGTTTAGAATATATTCTGAATCGGGCCATGGGCCGGAGGAAAAGCTAATATAACACAAAACATAACGAATTTCTAAGTCTCTGAGCACTCAAGTTCTGTCGGAAAAGATGAAGTAACATAAACAATGGATATGGCAAAATTTTAGTTTAAATCGTCATAACTCATCGAAGGCCGAAGTCGAAATTTGAAACGATTATGGATATACGAGTGCGAGAGCTGATTTTCCCTCTGGCCCCGTGGCCTACCTTTCTTTCCTCTATCGGTTATCGGCAATAACTTCCCAAAAACTTATCAAATTAAATTTTGTTCATACAACCAATTTCACAGCACATCTACGGAATCATTATAATCCTTGTACGCAATGTTTCTTTTAATTTTGGTCGTGAAAAATCAAAAGTTGAGAGTGAACAATGAGTATCATATGTAGAAATTTATGCCTTATTACAGGCAATAGTTAGAGTGAGTTCAAGCCAGATACTAATTTGGCATTGGATGAGAATTAAATCAAATTGGCCCGACCAGTATATATCATGAACATGGGGAAACAATACTAAAATATATTGACATCAAGAATCGCGTATTAAGCCTTAGCTGACCACTGAGTTTGTTAATAAAAGATCGACGGACAAGCGTAATAGAATGACCCATTCTCTTGCGTCATATAAAAGTGTACTTACGAATTTAATACGACATTAGCATTTGGATGGAATATCTGGCCTCACAAGGATCCAAAATACAATTTGCTAAAATGAAATTTTTGCTAAGCCCTCACGTTTCATAAAGCTTACCAACTTGGTTTTCAGTGTCTCTATCATTTTGTTTTCAAATATTTGTTTACCGGTGTGTATATATCCATATTATATTGGGGTGACCGTACATTTGAACCCATGTGTATATTCGCGGGTTCAATCTATATGCGGGTGCAAAACCCATGGCTTAGGGTTGGTATGGGTTCAAATATCCGTAAAACAACAAAAATTTCCATATGTGCAATAGTATGCCGGTGCAATCTTCGTGGGTTCAAATGTAAACTTTTTGCGTAACTTGTTTTTATTAGTTTCGGATCTTACCACAATTTCTCTTGGTAGATTCGAATTTAAACACAGTTCAATTTACGGCGCTCCATGAGTGTGTACACCAATATGGAAGTAACTAATTTTGTTCACCTACGTTACATCGACTTAATAAATATCGACCGTAACGCCAAATGAAATTGGCTTAGCGAGGGTGATAAAAGAAAAATAGGTTCAGTTCGGAAAATAGAAAGGAATAAACGCTAACGATACACATGATCCGAATTTAGATTTTTTTATGTCCAGCAAAAGGAATAAAGAATAATGAAATAGTCTGCCGTTTTCAAGCATTAAGATTTACTTCTTTTTTTACCAAGCATGCTTTTCTGTAGATAACACCTTCAAAAAGACGTTGTTCAATGTTACGTTCACGTGAACGTCCGAACAGGACCAATTAGAATTGATTTTACATGTGATACGTTTGCTAACAATGTTAGCGGGAAACAACGAAACAAACAAAATAACGCATTCACCTTCAGTAAGTACGCTAGCGTTGCGCTACACAGCAACAACAGTAACGAGAACATGTTCGTGTATTATGCTGGATGGCTGAACGCAAAAGCGGGACTTTTGCTGACTTGTCGGGACGGCGGGACAAGACGCTAAAAAGCGGGACGTATGGTGAGCCTACCTAACCCTAACCTGGTACACACACTACGGGAATACCCGATTTACTATATAATTTAAATTTGGTCGCCTCTATAGCAGAGAGGTCACTGCCGTTGCTCATTGATATTTTACTTGCAGCTTATCGCTGCATGTAATTTAGCAGACTATCGTTGGATTTTAAGGTATCAATAAAAGGATACTCTTGAAGTATGCGTACCAGGTTAGGGTTAGGCCATAATTTTAGGTACAAATACTATGGGAGTCCCTTGGCTAGTCCCCAAACTCGTAATAGAACTAAAATAAGGAAAATTTGAATAAACTTATGGCCTAACCTGGAGCACATACTACATTCCGGTGTACGCCATCTCGATACGCATACTTCATGAGTACCAATAGAAGAGCAGAATTAACAGGAGAGCTATGTTCAACTTGGAAATGAATAATTTGGACAACGACATGTCAGCAAAATAGCAGATAAATGATATAGGTATTATATTACATCATTTTTATGAAAACAAAACACAATTTTTGTTTTCTATTTATAAAATACGAATTACATGTTGAACTGGTATTTGATGTTGCTTTTGACTTTGTATTTTCGGGAGGTACGTCACCAAATTGAAAGAATCAAGAAGCATAACATTGTTTAGGTTATTATCACCTAGTTGTGTCCTCGACCCCATTTTCATGAAATTTGTTGACATAAACGTCTATCCACATTCATACATGTTGCCCAACATTGATGCCATTTTAAGGAATAATCAATCTAGTCCGCAAAGTTCAAAACTTTTAACGCTAATTATGACCAAGCGTACCCTTAGCACCAGTGACTTAGCTGGAATTGTCACGCGCGCGAGTTCTAACTGCGTCGAGCCAATGCGGCGAGTTTTAACTCCGACGACCCCAGTCGGCCTTGCGGCGCAAAAATCAATTACTTGATATTTGCCTGCGGTTACATAATTTACTAAACCAGTCTAACACGATCGACAATCCACCGAAACGAAACAGAAGATATTACACGAGAAGGTTTTAGAAAATCTAAAGGTGCAAATTTTAAAATAGGTCGCGGACCCGATGATTCGACTCGGCGCAACGACGTTTGTCGACCCCCACTTCAGGGTAGAGAGACACAGAATAAGCAACATGGCTTTGTAGTTCATATGTATATACTTTGTGTTTCTGGGTAACATGCTTGCTAACGTAGTTTATATATTTGATACACACAGAATGATTATCCATTAACAAATTAAATTTGTATATTCTGTGTTTAAGATTAAAGGGCTTTTTAAAGTCAGACAAATTTATTTATTCGAACGTATTTAATATTTCAATCTTTAGTTTATATGTTGAATATTTGGGACAAAAATTATTAACCTGATTTAAAGATAAACAAATATCAGCTTTGTAAAATTATAAACCGATATTATGCTGGAAGCCTGGAACAATTTACATGTTAGTAACAACATAAAAACAAAATGAATTGCCACCTTGCTTAATTGTTAATCTGGTCCTGCCTTTAGGGTATCTATTGGGGAGTATCGAGAAGAGTGTGTTTCTGTTTCCTGATTGCGCCCTTGATTATTAGCTAGAGCTAACTAAGTTGAATGATCGCGATAGAACTTAGTTGTTCAGCATAAATAATCTACAATGTTAGAGGATGTCTGAATTCATTAAACAAACTACAAACATATCCTTATTTTATAGTTAGTTAATCATGACTTTTTTAAGCAATGCCGACAGGAAGCCAGGTATATTGATGGTTTTGTTTCTATTCCCAACATATACGCTGTGTACTAGCATTCCAGATTCTGATAGATCTGAAGCGAGCGTCTTCAAAACGTACCTGTTTGAAAATGTCACAGCGACGGAAGATGTATTTCCACCTTTACCAGGTATATTTCAAAGCAAATGGATACAATATTTTCCACATATACAGTCAATGAAAGGACATTTTGAAGGCATGAATACACTTCCTCCACAGCCCATGATAACTTCAGCCAGAAAGACAATAATTTCTATTCCGAAGAAAATATACAAATTAAACGATATATTCAAAGCCAAAATTGAAGCAATGGATTTTAGAGGAAACCCCAAGAAATATGGTGGTGATTTTTTCCGCGTGGGACTCTATAAACCATTTAGAGATACTGATGGGGTTTCTTGTGGCGTTGTGGACAATTTGATCGGGACTTATGATATTTCGTGTCCTTTAGTCTGGGTAGGGAATGGAGTACTGAAAGTGACATTAATACATCCAAGCGAAAGTTTATATGGACTGATGTTAAATTCTTCTGGAACAAAAGAACTCGGTGTTTCACTTCGAGCAACAGTGAAAATCAATGGACAAGAGGAGTTGACGGATTGCGCGTTTGGATTTCCAGGAAAATCAAAGTAGGTTGGCACAGTCGTATATATGATGCCAAAATATTTTACTAATTTGTATAAATAAATAACAATTTTTGGTAGGTCGTGATAGTCAGTGAACCCCATCTGTTTTAGACGTTAGACGACAGCAGCAAACGGGTAACGTGCACGGACGCTGACGACCAAACAGCGTTATATTTGGCGTTTTGGAAGTCAAGTATCAAATTTATGTAAAGCAATGTTATTTTGAACACATCGTGGTAGTGACAAATACATACAGTTTATGAAATGAGGAAATTTGTAGCTAGTGATTCCGATACAAAAGATACCTATTCTTGAAATTTGGAATCCCGACATTGCATATATGTATTTGGAAAATGTTGAAATTTTTGCCAATGATTGTTAAATTTTGCAGATACGGAGTTTGTGATTACTCCAACTCAAAGAATGGAGACCCATGGTACTGCATGAAGCCAAAATCAAATCAATGTTCAACGAATCTATGGATTACAAGATATTTAGATTCTGATAAAAACCAAAAGCTTGGAAAACGACCATATTTTCGAAAAGGAATAACTTGGAGAGTGAAAATAATGCAACCCAATTTAACGGTACAAATACAAGATGGCGGGAGTAGACCGCGATTTGCTTCCGAACTACCACGGTGTTCTGAATTGAAACAGGTTGTTCTTAATAAAGACCCATCGGTTGCCACCGGATTAGCTATAAACGCTGGATGGTCTTCTTTCATTTGTCGAAATCATCCATTCGATGAAGATAAATTCGCAAATTGTCTTCAGAACCATGAAATAATTTTAACAGGAGATTCCACAATGAAACAATGGTATAGATACCTAATTTCAGCTTTTGGTGCTGAAACTTATGGTCTGGGTGGTACGGATTCTTCGTGGGCGGAGAGGCGTATTGGACACCAAAGAAAAAACAATATAACCCTCCGATTTTTTCCGCATGGCCCCCCTTCTCATCATCCAGGACTGTCGGAAGTAAGACCGTATATATCAGATACTTTAGATGAAATTCCATCGGATAGAGACAATATTATATTTATATTTTCGATTGGGCTGCACATGAATTTATTTCATCCAGATATATATTTACAACGAATCAGAAATATACGTGCGTCCGTTGAAAATTTGCATCGGAGATCGCCCAACATAAAAATATTTGTCAGGGAACTTCACGCCCACTCCCAATCAACCATACTCTGTCCGTCAGATTGGTTTAGTTATAGATATAATGTTTTGCTACGTCAAGTGTTTGAAAACGTTGACGGCGTGACTTATCTACCATTTTGGGATATGTCGGCTGTTTACAATAATCGTCCATACCACCCTGGAGCACGATTGTTGAAATTACAGCTTGGTCTTCTTCAGTCTTTCGTTTGCAAATGAATATATTGTGTCATCTTGAATCAAGTCTCAAGTGAGCACCTATATAGAAAGGCTCCCCATAAACATTTCCAGCATCCTATTTTCATCATCAATCAAATCTTCGAGATAGTTTTGTACTCGAATGGAAGTACTTATCATCGACTTTCGACGTCTTAGCAAAATTTATTTAACACTTTTTTTGTTTTTACGTTTCACCATACCTCAATAATAACTTATATTTCACAATTTTCACAATAAAATATTTACTTGATATCCCTCCATATTTAAATATATTTTGCAATATCTATTCATAAGTCTCCTAAACTTAACAATGACTATTCTTTGCTTGTTCTTTCTGTCACATATCTTAGGCCTACGGCGTTGCTAACTCGATGCAGTTTCTCGCAACTTCTTCCGATTTGATAATCTGTATTTTTACAAAATGGAACAATAAATACTTCATTCATTCATTATTTTATTTTTCAAACATACATAATGAATATACACATTGTGCACAGCCTACAGGACGTGATGCAGACAACTATAAGCGTCGTAGATATAATATATATACTAGAGATGTACCGATATCACTTTCGTCGCCGATACCGATACCAGCTAAAATGCCGATATTCCAAAAAAGCCGATATTAAATAAATATTGTAATTATTAAGTCTGAAGGGCAGACGGGTTTAAACAGTAATTTTTGAGCATTATTTATAGTGCACACCATTTTAGATTGAAAGAGATACATCACATGAAATGGATGTTTGGTATCCAGATGAGTTAATGATTCAGATGCATTGTGTACTGACACTAGTAATCTCGGTGTTCAATTAAAAAACTCATAGGGTTTGTCTACCATGGGTGGTGAAATATAAGAATGTTAACTTATCCTATCAAACTGCAGTGGCGGCGCGTGGTCATTTTGACAACCGGGGCAAGCTACTGCGGGACCAAGTCACCCCCATCTACGGGGACAGGATGAGCGCTGTAAGTTCTCCCATCATTTTATGAGTATAAAAACCATTCCATCGGTATCAACCAATCGGCAAAAGCGACAATTTTTAACGATAAGAAAGTGTCTTTAAAACCGGTCCAAGTCAAGGGATTAATAAATATAGACATAGTTTATTTTGAAACCTCTTTCAAAAGGAAGGGCAATATTTACCCAGATAAATACAATGACATATTAACAGAAACTTCGGGAAAGCAGACAAAACCTAAAATAAGGTTTAAAACGTTACTATGAAGAAAGGAAAGTTAATGCAAAGATAAGGACATGCGTCGCTCACTCATAGATATATATGTTGCTAGACTTCTACTGCTTGAACATATATGCAACACGCCGCGGTTTCTTGGAAGCAAAATGCTCAATAACGCGCTGATTAAAGTCATGCATCCCAGATATAACGTCTCTGTGAATGGATAAAACAGCCAAGGAATTTAATCTATCTTGCTTCATTGTGTTTCTGAGATACGTTTTAATACGCTTCAGCGTGCTGAATGTTCGCTCTGCGTCATCGGAAGAAATAGGCGTCGTCAAAATGATGTCCAGAAATTTTGCAGACGCCGCAAAGGTAGTTACTAGAGTGTTATCTATGAGGAACCCATAGAGCGCGCAAGTTGATGTGATGTTCAAAAAAGTTTGATTGGTGTATATACATTGCAATTCATTTTCCAATTTACCCACGTTAATCATGGGGTAAAATTTGGAGACAGTAGCCAACAAATGGATGGGAAATTGACGTGCAAATTTTGAAAAATTTTTGGGGTTCATCAAAGAAAACGCGGCAAGGTGTTCAGTGCGCAGACGATCGATCGCCTATTTGATTCACCAAAATGTCACAGCATTCCTTTGCAGACAAAATCAAACGCTGCGTTGTTTGCCCGCGGCGTAAAGAAGCACTCCATGTGTCGTCGTATTTTATTGTTTCCCGGATACGAGATACAGCATCGCAGAAGTCTGAAATACACGACTGCACAGACGCTCCATCCATTAGCCTTGACTGCAATGCGCCGTATAATACATCCACGTGATAGAATATTGTGGAGAAAAAATGAAAACTCACCATCTTCTAGCAGACGCTTTAGACCTGCCGCCTCCCTCACAGAGCGTTCGTCCCAAACCGGAGAGCTCTGAATGCCATTGAAACACTCAATGAGCTCAGACCTAATTTCGGACACGCCCTGCACCACGCGTGATTGGAAGTTCCAACGTGTTGGTGCACAAGCTGGGAGACGGCGGCTACATATCTGGCGAAGGAGGTCAGAGCGCTTCGGCGAACGGAAAAAAATGAAGAAAACCCCGAAACATTTGCAAAAAAATACGGACGAGAGGGGTATCAAGACACATTATTTTTAATAACGAGGTTAAATTGGTGTGCATAACAATGTAAAAAATGCGTACGAGGAAAATATTCTTTGATATAAACTTGAACACCATGTTTCGACCCACTCATGACTGCCGCGCCGTCATAAGTTTGAGCTATCAATTTTGACTTCGCGTTGTAAGGCTGTAACACTTCTTTCAGGACAGCCGATATCCCGCAAGCCGTGCGATCAACGATTGGTACAAAGCTGTGAAATCTCTCGGTAGATTTACAATCTTTCACAAACCGAAATATCACAGCCAGTTGGGAAACGCACGTGATGTCAGTTGTCTCGTCAGACTGAATCGAAAGGAACTGGCAATTCTCAATTCCCAGAGCCAAATGTTGTAAATAAATTTTATACATTGAGTCGAGCAAATCATTTTGAATATCCTTAGATGTCCCTTTCGAAACAGTGCGGCATCAAGATGATCTCTCAATACTGTATTTAGGGATGCGGTGTATTCCACCATATCCAAAAATACCCCTCTATTAGAAGAGCCAGCCCGTTCATCGTGCCCACGGAGGGACAGCTCGTGACAACCAATGAACTTCAAAACATCTATCAATCGACCGAGAACATGGCGGTTTTTCTCGACGTTTTGGTTGTGCCGACGAATAGAAACCGCGCGTCCTTCATCCAACTGTGCTGCAATATTAACATTTCCGAATGTTCGGTATTTTACTGCATTGTCCAGATGCTCCATAGAAGATTGATGATCCCTGGCACGCTCGGAAAGATGTTTAAGATCTCTAAAACCAAATTTACACCAACGTTAGTTACGGGCAATAGCAAAAAGTAGGCAATAAAAACAAAAAAGTGCATTTTTGACCTCGCTGTAACACAACCATTCGTGTTTTTTATACCAAGTTTCTGCGCAGAATGTACGCCGACGCTTTCCTCCGTCATGGGATTGTTCCAGTGAACAATTTTTTGGTTGATAAGGCCCAAGACGTTGTACCTCTAATTTTTGTTCCAGCGGCAGCTGCGAAAACGGAGTGCGAAGTAGTGCATCAACTTATTCATTATGAGGTCTAAGGCTAAGAAATGCGAAGCCGGAAAGAAGTGAGGAGCTCAAAAGGAATGTGGAAAATCGAAAGCAAATGGACTAAAGGTCTCTAACTGATTCAAATAGCGAAACAAGCGACAAAAACGAAGGCGAGGAAACTATCAACTCTTCAAGCAACCAACGAACAAGAAGGAATGCGTGAATATGTCAACACGTTGTTGTAAGAAACGTCGGCACTGTGTCGTCATAATTTCGGGGCTAGCCCCGATGATTTAGTAAAAGAAAAACAGAAAACAAACGAGACAAACGCGGCGAGTGGAAGATAAAAGAGAGAATACGATATATAGTGAGCAACCGGGGCAAAATCGGCGTCGCCCCGTCGACGTTCGGCGAAGGCTTTGCGAGCGAAAAATGAACCATGTCGGGAGAATATGGCTAGTGTAGACAGTCTGTGCAACCGATATTGAGGTATTTTTCGAATATTTTTTATTATACCGAAAAAACAACCGGGGCATTGGCCCGGTTGGCTCTATTGACGCGCCGCCACTGCTTTTATCATATATGTTTTTAAATCTATAAAGTGATTTTATAAAAGGAAACTTCAAAAGTAGGGCTAATGATCTAAAATAAAGAATTATGACCGAATACCCGGAAGGTCCGGATTCGGACCGCCAGTTGAGTATCCCTGGCGTAGTGGACAATTTGATCGGGACTGATTTTTTTGTGACTTTTAGTCTGGGTTGGAATTGGAGTATTAGAAGTGGAATTAATACCTCCAAGCAAAAGCTTATATGGGCTTATGTTAAATTCTTCTGAAACAAAAGAACCAGGTAAGAGGAACGACTTCGGCCTATTCATGAATTGAAGGACCAATGCATTATGTATGGAACGCATATCGAGAGTTTAGTGAACACGCATCATTTACCGTTTTAATCCTTTTTATCCAGAATAAGCTCACAAGTAGGAGCTACCTAAATATACATCTAAAATGAGCAACTTGAAATTAAAGTGACTGCACAAAAAGCTAACAGTGTGTTACCAACCTTGGTTTCACTATTTTCAAATTTAGATACCAATCATACAAACAAAATACACAATAGTAACCAGTAAGAGTTTATTGCACAATTCACAACCAAAACTGGAAGTTATATTTTTGAATTGCTGTTGTAAAACGATGCTAAAGATAACTACAACCACGCAACCAACAATTAAAATTTCTCCCCATTCAATTACAAAAAAAGCTTGAATTATCCATTCGAAAGAGTTTAGTAATAGCAGTATCAAACGAACAAATTTAGGCCTGTGCTATTCTGGTGCATGAGAAGCTTTGGCGTACTTTAGCATACTTATTCAGACCTGATTGCTTGCAAAAAAAAGAGAAAAACATCTCTAAACAAAGTATCACTTTTCACCTATCACCCATACTTTTTGGCCCAGATAGATATCAAAATACAGTATTATTTTGTAAACGATGATGCAGCCTCTTCAATAAATGTTGCAAGTTTTACATCCTTTGCAGAAAGTCCTCCAACATCATGAGTACTCAATGTTATTTGCACCTGACAAAAAAGTCGAAGTTAAAACAAGCAAATATTAACTGCTGAATCTGGCAGAATAAATCAGCCATCAATATTGAAAAGCATAATCATATACAGCAAATAAAATGACTGAGTTGGTTTTACAGTTGAATATGATTGTAATATCAAATTTTTTTTATACCGCTTGGCCTTAAACTACACAAGGAGAAAGTGTACTGATAGATGAGTCAAAACCATCACTGCTGTGCAAAGAGCTAAACATGTACCGGTATACAGAATTATACTTAACAGAGAAGTCCGAATTTTTTTGGTGTGAATATTGATAACATATTATTATGATAAAGAGCAGAGGCCATAGTGCTGTATTTCTTAAAATTAAAACAAGTATTTATATAAATATATATATCAAGCCTACGAATAGCAGCTGACATTTTTTCCCTTCTAATTTGTTTATGAAATCATTAATAAAATTGAAGAAAATTAAAAAAAGCCATGTCAGTCATGTAAAATAAACTTTATTTAGATTAGCAAAATGTGCTATGCTTCTTTGTATACATTTAACTAGTAAAAGGGTTATTCAAAAAATAATGAAGCATTTGAAAACAAATTAATCCTGGGGTAAGGCTATGTTGTTGTGAAGGAAACAAACATTTGAATGACTGATTGAAGTGACACTTCAGCACCAAAGTTTGGTTCCAGTAAAAAAATTAAAATAAACATTCTGAGCACATTGGTTAAAAATGCTAAATGAGTTTCATTTGCTTTCATGGAAGTAATGTGATACTTCACAGATTCCATCAGTATAAACAATTTCAATATTCCGAAAATATAGCTGTATAGACAATTCAAGAATAACACCTGAAACCAATTGAACTTTTATTAAAGATTTCATTAAAGATTATAATAGGTTGCACAATAAATAAACCTAATACGCATAAAATTTGAAAGATTGTATAGAACTAACTTTGTTATAGACATTGAACCATTCAGGATGGTGATCCATTTTTTCTGCTTTCAGAGCAACTCTCGTCATAAATCCAAATGCTTCGTTAAAGTTTTTAAATAAATATTCTTTCTTGATAGCATCTCTCCCACTTGAATCCATTGCCCATCCAGAATTCAACAATGGACCAAGTTGTGTATTTCTTTCTTCTTCATTAAGTTTCATTTTTATTCTTTTCTGTTAAATATAATTCAAAGATTTCATATACAGATATATACAAATACAAGTCAGAACATGCTGGTATTTATCTTGATAAAAACTAGAGATACGGTATCTTTGATTGAACAGATTAATACTTTCCCCACAATATGCTATAATTTTTTAAATTTTTATCTTTGTTCCATATTTTCATCTTAAAATTACCGTAACCAAAGCCCTAAGTCAACAGGTTACGGTTATTGATGACACTGATATACCGGTACCGGTACGGTACCATACAAACAGCATCGCAGCCTACAGTACTGCGCAGCGCTATCTAGGCTATACCCACCACAGCAAACCACCGCTTCGACTCGGTCCTGTTGATCAACGTCGAAAGGAATCGCGGCGTTGAAAATGTACAGTATCTACTTATTCGTATCAATACAGACAGTCCTGACGCCATGAGCCAACAACTACAGGAACTAGGCTACTCGCAAAACGTGAAGCGTAAACTAAACAAACCGTTATCACTCATAACGGCATAGCATAAGCCTGCACGCGAACCCCAACCTTTTTTGATAAATCCTTCCCTTACTACGCACAAAACTCCGTTAAGCCCTGTTTTCGCTATTTGTTCAATTTTTTAGGTCATTTTCAAGTGATGTCACAAGTGGCCCTCTGGCTTTTATAGTTTGAATAATTTATAATGTACTGTAATGCACGTTTTGCTGTTTTACAAGAATACTGCCTGAAAAATATTAGTAAAACTGAGCTTAATACAAAATAATACTTCCGCTGTATTCTGTATTCCGCTCAAAGACAACGAGATATAAAAACACGCCGAAGACGCTAATAACCTCATGTGATTTTTCTTTAATTCATTTTAAACATGAACCAGACGGCAGTGATCACCCACTCTGTCGTGTGATATGTATTACCGTATCACAGAGGGTCAGTATTCATATTCACCACACAGGTACCGTACTATTACTGTATTCCGTGCCCAGCTATGTGTACATTGGGTTTATATCTATGTCCTGACTTGGCGTATGCAGAATGTTATTTTTAAAGTGAAAGTTCAAAAGTTGTTGCGTCTATGACATCGGGTCGTATCCAACTGTATTGCTGATTATGGAGTCGAAATAAACTTACAATTATTAATTGTTTGCTGTGTCTCTCTGGCACTAGGGCAAATAATGCAGCAATATTTCGTAATAAAAAGGTATAATTTTAGCTTGCATATAAACTACGTAGCCTATATACAGAAATATTCAGATATTAGAAAAAGACAATAGAAATAAGTTGATAAGAGAGACAAGATGCTGAGATGAGAAATAACTGGATAAACATACAATAAAAAAGATGTTCTACTGGCGTCCATGTGTATTCAGTTAATTTAACATTTTAATTTAAATTTATTTATAACATTGTAAAAATTTTAATCCCGCCTTGGTACAACATATAAATAAGTCGTCTTTTTGACTTTCTTCCTCATCGGTAGGCAGCCGGGATAAAAATGAAAATCCCATTCAAAATTTACTGAATTAGTTCAGTGTTAATCAATATCAGTATATAACCAGTGCCTGTTTTCTATTTTTTTTGGTAACTTTAATACAAAATAGATGTGGAGTACCACAAATAGAGAAACATTTCATTCATTGGATTAGAGTGAAACTGAAAATAAGGGGCTCGTACGTTTCTAATACTGGATATAATGTACAATGGAGTGCTCTTCGCAAACGGAATCATTTGAAACGTCTGTATCAGATTCGAAAGCTGAAGATGAGCTTGAAGTAGAAAAAGAAGGGAATATTATTGTACATCCATCAGCTTCTATTCCACTCCCATTTGGTGTGGTAAGCTTTTTTCTACATTTAGCTCAGTTTTTGCTAAAATGCATGTTTGCCATCCACCCTTCAGACGCAAGATTGCAAATTGGATTTCTTTGAAGGTCGAAAAATAATGCAATCAACTTTCAGCCATTCATGTATTTGGTACTCAAATATGATGTCGAAAGCATTAATTGGAATAAAGTTGGTAAACCAGTCCATTGAATAAAATATTATAACTGAAATAAACATATGATGGCAATCCCATGATTTTACACTTTTCGAGAATATACAAATATTGCCTACAATAAATCAATCTTAAATTTTTGGATGATAACATTATTCTGTGCTGTAACAGATTTATCTACACTTTGTAATAAATTGAATTTTCATGCTATTACCATATATGTATAAAACTGTGCATCTCTTGAACAAACCAGGTTGATCAAACATGGTTCTAGTGCGAATTTTCACCCATGCTACAGGGTCAATATATTATACTATATAGTTTTTCATCTTCACTTTGATACTTAATCTTAGTTACTCTGCTGTCGTTTACCGTTTTGCTGAAGTAACTTCTAAGGTTGGCGGATGGCACATTATGCTAAGCTTTTGGAATCCGATTGCCATCGCACATCTGATTACCCTGTTTTCGAATCTTGTGACCTATGTGGGATAATTTTATGCGAGATGATTGATCTCCTTTTCGTCAATAGGGCGATTTATGTACCGTAACTGCTGGCCGGTCACAGCAGGTACCTATATATGGTGACCGTACATTTGAACCCACGTACATTTGAACCCATGTGTATATTCGCGGGTTCAATCAATATGCGGTGCTAAAACCCATGGGTTAGGGTTAGTATGGGTTCAACTATCCGAAAAACAAAAAAAATTCCATGGGTGCAATAGCATACAGGTGCAATTGTCATGGGTTCAAATGTACGTGGGTTCAAATGTAATGGAACCCCTATATATATATATATTGATACCATTTTCTTATTTTTTAAGGAAGAAAAAGATGAAGTTATTTTCATTGATTTAAATTCCGGTGAAGGGAAAAGAATTTTATCTGATCCTGAGACAAGTGTGCCAGAATTATATGCTTTAGCAAGACAATTTGTTTCTCCAGTGTGTGATAACATTAGACTGATTATCAATGAGGTAAGACCAGTGTTTAGTGGAGCTTTCATATATTAATTTAAAATGAGATACTCGGTTATATTAAATTATGTTAATTACAAATCCATACTATATTGATTTGTATATTTAATTTATTCAATTATCCATAGTTTACGTGTCTAATCTTCAACGGCAAAGGTCAGCAGATATGTACAACATTTATATTATATTTATTTCCGTTTGTTTTTATTTCCAATTTTGCTTGAGCCAATATCACTGGACAACTGGCATTTGTTGTGTTTTGAATTTTTCCCAAGAGATAAACATGCCTTTCAAAGTGATCCGGTCACACTGCATGTGATGACTCTTCATATAATCAATTTCAACTGTTTTAATAATATCAGAATGAAGTGCTACTTCAACTTGAAAAAGAGAAATGTCAATAATGATTTATTTTAACAATTATAATATTTATTTTTTAGATTATTAATCGTAATATTGGAGTAAATGATATTGATGCAACAACTGGAATGACTTTGTTACATTATGCTGTGAGAGCTGAAATTTTAGCTTCAGGTATTTGAATTCTTTGTGAAAGCAGCTGTGGGTAAAATGCAGGGCTGTGAAGGAAATTTACAATTGACCCCTGAACTTCGCATCAAAAAAGCTAAGGCTCTGACTGCACACTCAGGGACAATAAAAAATTTTTTGAATACAACTTCGAACTCTGAGACAGTCCCTTTTGATAACAAGCTTTCTTAAGAGACTTAAAAACGCTCAGTAAATTGATTGCATTCCGTTTTTGACATTTTTTATCACGATTGAAGTCATAGGTCATTGAAGCTCAGTGTCCTTTGCCACATTCATGATTTCGTTGTAGAAATAATTTTAAGAGATAATCTTAAATCTTATTTTATTATAGATTTTTTCATAATATCCATAGTTAAGAATTTTGTTTATTTTGAGTTAACCGTCATCCCTACCTTAGTTATGTATATTTTGAATGATTCACATTACTTTTAAGTAACGGTACAATAACTCAGTTTTAATTAATAAACTATTATTTTCAGATAAACTTGCTCCAGTTGAAGCGCTCAGTACTTTGTTATGTTATGGAGCTGATCCATCGCAAAGATCGTTGCTCACAGACATGAATGGATTTCATTTCGCTGCTTATTTTGATTGTCCATCTTCTCTTGAAACAATGATTAATCATGGAAGTTCTTCTAAATACGATGTTGATTGTTTATTGAACAGCCTTTGTAGTGAATTTGAATTTGGATCTGCTTTACATATTGCTGCTATGAATTTAAGTGTTAATGCTGCTGAAATTTTATTGAAGGTAAAGTCTTCAGTTGCGGATAAAAAACCACGCTTTATTTAGGTTGTTTTACCTCTTATTTCCGTAAATATTGTATTGGCTCATATGTTATAGTAGTTTGGTTGACCTATTTTGCAACAGACTGTATTCTCAATTTCATCTGAAATAAGTAATATATACAGAAACAGAAAGTATACACTGTTCAAGGATAAACCAAAGTAACTTTGTGGTTGTTTTCTTTTACAAAAAAAACCTTATGAGCGATTCACTGGTTTTGTGACAAACCAGGTTTTCAAAGCTTTCTCTAACCATTTGGCTAAAGTTTCATATCAATCCGAACCCAGAATATGTCATCATATCCACTATAACTTTGAAAGTGATTAGTCAACTGTCCGAGTGTAGAAAGCACCAACTGGTTGGCAAATCGTGTTACGGACAAGCTTGCAAATCATGTTACGGACAAGCTTGCCATTGAAGCTCTGATCACCCTGCGCTAGTTCGCATGTTCGAATCCTTTGGGAGATGATTATGTGCGATAGCTGGGTTCGGCAATAGGGGGTCTTACATAGCTCCTTCCTCCACCTTCAAGTACATGCATCTGAAACAAACATTTGGTTAATTTTATCTCCATGCCTGACATGGACAGGTAACTGCAAGTCATACACCATATGATGTCTGATTATCTACTCTTCCCCCCTGATAAATATGAAAATCCTATCCTAGATTTGCACATGACTTGCTTCTTTACATGGGAATGGAACTGATTAATTGCCAATTATTTTATCAATACTAATTACATATTTTGAATAGATTCTATTTTTCACTGACTTACTTACAATTCTTTCGTTTCAGCATGGTGCTGACATCAATCTTAAGGATGATTTAGGAAGAATTCCATTGTATTGCATTCCCCAGAACACACATAATAATGAGGAAAGAAGAAATGCAGAGAGATTAAGATTAATTCTCAGTGATAGGCGAGTTATAGTCACTGGAGATTTTTGCTTCTCCTTGAATAACTTCTGTTCTCTTACAGAGGCTTCTGTATATTTTGTATATATGCGCAAGTGCTGAAAGTTTTTTAGGATCTGATGGTAGGATTAGCGGTATAAATTATCTACCACAAGATATTAGACTGTGGGTTAGTCCAATAAATATGACCCTATCCCAATGCAGTCTGACCGGGATCTCAAGTCCAACTATCCCAGTTTCTGCTTGATCACTCTCAATATCTTTTTACACTATTGGGGAAATAATTTGCATTCAGAAACTTTTGTTCGGAATAATAATCAGAGGTTGGAATTTATCTTTAAATATAGAAATAGATAAAGTCGATTGTTAAAAACTTTGTATGAGTTAACTAGTGACTGAGGAATGCAATCCTATTGAACTTTTTTTCTATTATCGTTATTATTATTTCTAGCCCAGACAAGAAGATTTTGAAGGAATCATCAAAAATCTACGTAGATCAGCATAAGCCGAGCACGGTAAACAAACGGTTGAAAGCAAGTTCGTGGCACGAATCAAAGAATTTGACAACAGGTTTGTTCATTCACGTCATTATAATTTGTATTTTTCCATGAAATAACATTAAATATCAAATTTAAAATAGGTTTATTTCAAAAAAACTTTAATGCTATTTTACGGTTTTGTTGTCTAGAATAAAGTTTTTCTTCGTGCATGGGTATGTTGTTAGATTGTGTTATGTTTTCATTGAAGTTGGTATTTCAGACTTACGATCCCTGTAAAAATTTTTTACAGAAACTCGAAAAACGTTAGTTTAGCAAGCGTTCCCAATAAAGAAGCCATTACTAAGGAAGACATACTTAGCCAAATTTTCAAGTTTTCCTAACGAGTCTATTATTAAACAAGACATGCTTATTTCAAATTTTTAAGCTTTCTTAACGCGTCTATTACTAAAGAATACATCCATATTCATAATTTTGTTCGAATAAAGTTTAATTTCTTCGAGAGTTTGTAGCTGAAGTCAATAGTTGAAAATTGAGTAAATATAAATTTCTTTAGACTCTACAGCCTGAGGTATGAATTAAGTCATACCACACATTTTGTTTATCTCAAAATAAAAAATGTAATTGATTCTATATATAACGGTAAATCATTCTTGTTTTGATGTTCGAACTAAACAAAAAACACCTGTTCACGTAAAAATTGTTTTCCTGATTAAAAAGCTTATCTTTCATTTAGGTAAAGATGCCATTGATAATAAATGGAACTTCAACGTTGGTGATCATGTGTTTGTATCGGGAACTAAAAAAGGAATAATCAGATTCATTGGAACAACTAAGTTTGCTTCAGGTTAATATTCTATTTGAATAGGATAGGGTTTTTTTAAATTTCCTGAAGCTGAAGGAGAGAAAAGTCATTAAGGAGCTTAGTCATTTGGCGAACCATGTAAATGTTTTTGATATTTTGAAATTAGAATAATATACTAGTAAATCGACACAGAAATTTCCCAATCATTGAAATTTAAAATTGAAGAGTAATGATCTAATGAAGGCCATGGTGGTGCCATAGTGAGGCTATTGCTACAGCTGTGTAATAACAGTTGCGCTATAAATATCAGCGGACAAGAGTGATGATTCAAATTCATCCCATATTTCATAAAAAGTGTTCCCATTTATTAAAAACCGGCAAAGTTTTGGATGGAAAATCTGTCGCCATAGGAAATTTATGTAGTATATTGTGATACAAAACAATATTTCATTGCTTTTAATCCAGGCACATGGTGCGGAATCGAGCTTCATGAACGAATCGGAAAGAACGACGGAAGTATAAACGATGTTCGTTATTTTTCATGTGATTCGTCACGAGGTGTTTTTGCTCCAATCAATAAGCTTTCTCATGTGACTACAAATTCTTTACCAAGGAGAAGTAATTGTAAGTACGAGATTAAATAATTATATGTCGAGCATGTGCGATGGATGGAGCGTGCTTAGGCGCACGCTCCATCTATGGCACATACTCGACTAATTAATATGTATTAAGAATTCATTTCCTTCTGGATATTAATTTAATTGGTCAGTAGTATTTATTAAAGTAATACTCTATAAGTAGATAAGTAAGCTGCAGAGTTTCAATTATTGGTAATATGTATGAATCCACAATGCATCAGAGGAAATTTTTGGTCTCATAAATTGTAAATTTCGTGTTGTTTCGTCATAAAATTAATCAGAAAAATCTTTTGACATAATTATTGTCATCACTATGGTCACTGAATTAAATAGTGTTATGGATAGCTGGGGAAACTAGCGAAGTTGAATGATGTGCTCGGCGGTCTAAATTGTTATCTGGCTTTTTAACTTTTTGGTCGGGAATATATGCAAACAATATAGGCATCATAGAAAACTAAAAATCGAATGCGGATTCTATTAGCCTAGAATGGCTATGCCTGATAACTATGTGTTTGCACAATAAAGGTGTTTGTTTTGTATTGCACTGTTTACCTATTCTTGGCACTATTGTGGCCAGCGAACAATGCAAAAATAATTTTGTGGCCGGCGGAGTGGCGACAACCTTGGATCACCCTGATATAGACTCTCTGATTTGAATATAAACTTATATAACCCCTGTTATTTCAGATAACTGATTTTTGTTTACTAGTTTACGATAAAGTCATATCCTCTGTTCTCATTACTTAGCTTAACAAAATCCGATATTCTTCACTTCACGATATTTTTTTGGATATGATCACTTTCTGTTTACATAATATAATTCGATCCTGTTTCAATTCTTTTGTGTATTGTAAGAGTGTTTTGGTGATACTTTTCCTTGTTTGAATCATAAACAAAATTTATTGTATTAACAAAAATAATTTGTAACTCAAGAAGTTATAAATTATAGTATGTTGAAATAGCAAAGCAATAGAAGAAAGGATATATTCTCATGAAAGATGTTCAGAAAATTAAGTTCCAATGAACGATGAAGTTGTGAATATTAGTGTTTCATTCAACTTTTATGCCTAAATGAATTTGAGCTGTTGCCATAAACGAAGTTGTAAAGCCAGTAAAACAACCACCTTTGCCTCAACTTTACCTATTGTCTTTTTTGAAAGTTATTAACTGATGTTTTCCGTTTCAAACTATAGTAGCTTATTACTTAGTGGTCATTGTTTTCCAGAGCTTTGTTTAGAGAAAAAAGAATATGAACATGATATAGAAAAAATCTGCATTGGAACTGTCAGGCTCATATACACCATATTAGCGGTAAAGCTTCATTCACATCGTAGCAATAAATTTTTTTTTTAATCCTTTTTAGCAAGAACTAAACATGCAAGGTCAAGATCTGTTGGACGTCAGCCGCCTATTCATTCTTGTTCAAGTAGTGGAACGAGTTCAAGAGAATTGTCTCCGTAAGTTTTTTATTTCATTATCTCATTGAAGGTAGAGCGTATGGTTTCTTTTGGTACATCTGTTTAAACGCAGCCTTCTGGGCAAAAGCTGTGTTGGTCTTGAACTATTTGGTGACGGATTTTTGTTGCAATCTGACTAAATTGGCAAAATTGCAATGTGGTATATTAGTCATGAATTTATTTTAGTTCTTGCCAAAAATCTTCTTGCTTTTTAAATCTTGAGAGTATTTTTATTCCTAACCTTATGCTTTTACATTTTATCGGCCTATTTTTACTTTTCAATGAAAGTTTTCAATTTTTTGTGAATGCCTGATTGGTGTCAAGTCAGATGGCCAGAAACAGCTGTTCCCAACCGTCAGATTTCTCTCGCACGTCCATACCCAAAGCCTATTTGCTGTGTTCTTGTAAATGACGTATGTGTCAAGCAGTCTGAATGAGATCAGTTGAGTCAGCGGGTACTGCAAGTATGGGAGATGAAAACGAAAACCCATTTATGTGCTATAAACCGATGACTAGTCACAGTTATTATAGGAACTAGTGTATGGTGACGTGAACATTTGATCAACTGGTCTCATTTTAAGCAATTTCAATTCAATTTATTTTCGACGTACAGTTGATTGAAATATTTATCCAACTTTAATTTCATGATGTTGCTGAAATCAAAGAGTTGAGTGCATAAATTATGTTGTATTTGCTATTGATGATATTGAAATGCAATACTCTTTCACATAAAAAATTTTACTAATTCTTACAGAACATTCAATGCTCGACTTCGAATTGGAACAATTGTTTACTTGGAACATCTTAAGGAAAGAGCAGAAATAAGGTAAAGCTGATGACGATATCATAAACAATGAAGTATAGTATAAGCTTCTGGTGACTTTTGCATTACAATGTTCTTTTAGACGAGTGTGAGAATGATTTTGAATATTGTGAATTTAGCATGTTATAAGTGCTTGTTCTTAATACCGGTATATGAGTTTCTATGAATGTATTGTTCAGAAGATTTTATTCATCCACAAAATTATGACCAAGTTTTGAACTATTCAACTCAAAAGTATAAATAAATCTTTTTTTTTTTGAATTCTAATTCATTTGTTATATACGAACACAGATACATTGGAAGAACAGATTTTGCTGATGGAGTGTGGGTTGGATTAGCTTTACCTAGACCAGTTGGAAAAAACAATGGAACAGTTCAAGGACGACAGTACTTCAAATGTAAACCAAATTGTGGAATCATGTTGAAACCCAGTCGTATTTTTTTGAATGGCATCAGTGGGGATAATTTGCTGTAAAAAGTATTTTAATCTGCAGGATTGGGGAGTCGGTTCACAATGGCTTCTTCAAACTGTGACTTGGTATGGCCACCACCACGAAACATCAGTCCAAATGCAGTTTCGTGGTAGCAGAACTCAAAACCATGATATAATTTTTTTTAAATTAAAATTTATTATACAAATTCAACTTGAAATTTATAAACTAATATTAGAAATTAAATATTAAAAAAATTATAAATTGAAAGGCGATAGATAAGTATTAAAAAATAATACATGCGATAAAAATGTTAAGCGGTTAAGAGATGGAAGCCACTGAAATTTCTGGTAGCTCTCATCTATTATCGTAAACTTGGCTCCAGCTCATTAGAACCGGATTCAAAATCACAATAGTGATTTGACTTTCAACTACTCATATATTCATGTCTGTTTGTGTGAATTTTTTTTCCATAATTAGCCTTGCAACAGTTGATTGTGATGTTAATCACTATAATCTTTTCATTCATATTCATGTAACCAGTCCCTGATATATATTTTTATATGAGAGATATTTTTTAATGTTTATATGTTGACACTGTTTTTGACTTAGCTGAACCACTGTTTGAACCTAATGAAATTAAAGATTGTTGTCTTCAATCTTTTCACTGTTTAGTTTATGTTGAATAACATTTTTGTTGATGGAAATCAATTTAAAATCATAATCTGATCAAAAGAAGTGAGTAGAAGATAATTTTTACTGAAAATCTCGAAGCATTTGGAATGAGCGGAATACGCTCCTTCTTTTAACCTTCAACCTTTGTAATAATCTTGAATTGGAAAATACACATCAGTTTGATTCTAGTTGGACAACATCTATGGTTATCATCATCTCACTTGAAATGTCGATTATTAGTTATTTAGTTTAGATTGTCGAGTATATCCTTTTTTGTATTGTGTAACAATGAATCAAGTATTTCATAATCCTCTGTAATAATAATTTTATGACCCCTGACACTCAACTAATTAATGTTTAATACCTATGATAGATCTTGATTTTTCTTTATTTACTAAATATGCTGCGTTTCTTCAATTGTCAATTATATGCATTCACTGTGGTATGATTGGATTTTGTTCTTTTAAATAATGGCGCTATCATCTGCAGATTCTACCTGCTCCGCTCAATGCAAAATATCTCTTTAAATTACCTATATATATGCACCAAACGCCTCTCGCAGGAAGATTTTGTAGAAAAGTTCTGCTTGGCATGGATAGCGTTCAAGACGTGGACAAGCGTCAAGCGCACAATATTGTTTTTGAACGAATTATAAATAAGGACATAATCATTATTTGAAACACATGTTAATATTTGATGAAAAACAGTATATTTGTTGGCGTTACGGTAAAATAATAATATTATTTCTGGCTGAACCCCGAATAGCTAGCAGCTTGGAAAACTTCTTGGATGTTGCTTTCTTTCTTTTCGGGGGAAACATCGTCAAAGAAAATTCGACATCCAGTTCTTAAATCAAAAGGTGTGCTAGTCTGTGGAAGCTTTGTCTGAAAAATGATAATTCAAGTTTTCATTAAATTTACCAAGAACTGTAGAGCAGCACGCGTTTAGCGGCGTGGCCGGGTTAATGAGATTTGGAACCGTTTCGAGGTTGAAACGATCATACACGGCTGTCATGTTGGAAGTGCATCTTGAAGCAGAATGATTCCTCGAGTTATTTCGACCCTGCTATGCGCATTTAATAATGAGAATTGTGTGTGGCCAAGAACTGCTCCGTTTTTTTAATTGAGGAAATTTGTTTTTAAGATGATTGCGTTGCGACAACTCAACTTCAATTTATCGTTGAGCCAATTACGATACACAAACTCATTCTTATGTAGATGTAATTTTAGTTATTTTGTGTAAAAATACATACATTTTAATATGAAAGGTTTATATTTAAGAAATGGATCGGATAAAACTTGACCTTTTTTAATGCGGTCAAGCAATAGAGATATTCGATATTAATATATATGATTTTATGTATTTAATCGGACTCACCCATGAATAGTCACTATAGGTACTACGTACACTGAAAGCTGTGTAGTCCGGAAGAGTCCACTGATACATGTCCGGTAATCTTGCGTACACTGATCCAACATCCGAATTATTTCTAGCTGTAGATATGCTGAACGGGTAGTTAGTTGAGCATGATAAATACGACGGGATTGAAGGTGTAGAACCATGTCTAATGGATCGACTCATACCACCACATAATGAACTATTGTAAAACTGTAATTCCGTTTGGTTCTGAAAGTCTTCAGTTGTCTTAATGTAAGAATGTGGATACCCGGCACTTGCTTTAGGAGACAAAATCGTCTGTTCTCGATTTTCCAGACTTTGTTGGAATGTTGCTGATAAATTTGGAACTTCGCATTGATCAGGATTCCTATTATATTGGCATTGTTTTGCGGTTTCTTGCCGCGCTCGACCTTCCGTGTGTATGTGAGATGAATCTGCTATCCCTGCTGGATTTTCTTCCCTTGCAGGAGAATTGTTTTGATCTGGCGTAGACGGTTGTCGAGTCTGGTGATTTATTTCTCTTTCAGGTAACAGAGGAGCTCTAATTTCATCAAAGTTTTCTTCCCTGTGTAGAATAAAGAATATTATACTCAATGTTAAAAAATAACTAATGTAAAACAAAAGAGCAATGCTCAAATATATGGATCTCGCACTTCGGTACCGGTTCGTTAAAAACTTAGAGCATCGAATTTGCTGGAAAGATCGGCGAACAAATGCAGCAGTGGCGGTTACGCGTGGCGAATAAAAGAGTGCCTCCGTTAATCAAAACAAAACAGAAAAATTTTGGGTGAAATATCATGTCCAATGGGAGATTTGGAAATTTTAAAAACTATATATATATATATATACTTAAAACTTGAAATCGATTGATTGATACAGCAGTTGGGGAGAAAAGCGATTTTTGCGAAAACGACAAAAATCATTCAACAACGACAAGAATTTAGCATAACGATCCGTATATGCACTTTGTGTCCAATATCAAAAAACGCCCGGACAATATTCCAGACATTGCATTAAACGAGATAACCAATGCTATAGGGTTCCATTACATTTGAACCCACGTACATTTGAACCCATGACGATTGCACCTGTATGCTATTGCAACTATGGAATTTTTTTTGTTTCACGGATAGTTAAACCCATACTAACCCTAACCCATGGGTTTTAGCACCCGCATATAGATTGAACCCGTGGATATACGCATGGGTTCAAATGTACATGGGTTCAAATGTACGGTCACCATGCACTTTGTGTCCAATATCAAAAAACGCCTGGATAATATTCCAGACATTGCATTAAACGAGATAACCAATGTTATAGTAGAGGTCCGAAATCATCAAAAGTATATTGTTCAAATATGATATCCCTGGAGAGATGGTCGGCAAGAGATAATAAAATACTTTGATTTCGCAATGTAATACCGATGTTCACAAACGTTTTGGGCACGGGGGGATATAATTTTCGTATTTATCCCAAATCGTAAACTACTTCATGGTTCCATCTGAATTCAATAGAATATGATAAATAATAGTCCAGTACAAAACTTACCTTATGTCCTGATTACTTTGCGCTTCATCAAAAGTAAAATTTATTACATGTTCGTTCGATGTATTTATTCTTTGAAACGTTACTATAACGTTGGGTCGAGGAACAGATGGCCATATAGTTCTGGTAATAATATTTTTTATGTGTTTTTTGTGATAATAAACTACCAGAGCACTGATTATAACAAGAAGAATTCCAACTGTAGATCCAATGATAACAGGGACGGAATCTCTATGTATTAGCTGACCTGGAATAGAAAAAACATAATTTTGAATGACTGGAATAATTATTATTATGTTCAAATGAGGACACCACTGGTTGAGCTTCATTACCCTGTTGTTCACCATGTTTGTATCAAGTCGGTAAGCGTTGCTGATCTTGCAGCTGCTCGCTCAAATAGTTTAAATTATCCATTCACAAGACCAAGACCGTTCATTGGTACTAGCAGAGATACGTAAAGCTTAGAGTTTATATTTATATATGCGTGCCTGGGGTCATTTGGTCATTTTACTTGAATTAGAATACAAATATGACATCATATTATTACGTCATACATTTCAAGTATAAATGGCCCTTCTCTAAACAAAAAAATCCTGAACACGTCATTATTGTTTTGCGTAACTCTGTAGGGCAAGGTTATGTACAAGAAACACAATTCAATCATGTTTTTCTTTACTATTGATAGTTACATATGTACGTATCCCACACCCGACATGGACTGGTAACTGGGCGAAAGGCCGAGGCTCGCCTTATGATTAAGCCATCTTATTGGCTTTCCCTTCCGCCAGGAATAAATATGTAAATCCTATCCTATGTTGAATGGTTTTTTCATGCGATTGTACTTTTGCATTGTGATCCCATTAAATAAGCAAAGAAAAGAATCCCAATATCCGTTATCCTGATCTTTATTTAATATCACTCACCTATGTCACATTCAACGGGCATCAACGTCATCGATTCACCATATAGAACAACGTCATCAGCTTCATTCATAGTAAAGGCAGTTATGATAACATTTTTAGTGTCAATATCGTCCTCACAAATATCAGAATGTGTAACGTTACTGTTATCAGTGCTGATGTTGCGAATTATTACAGAATCGTTGACGGAATATACGGATATATGATATCCGGAGATCGGCCCATTGGGATGTAATGGCATCGACCAGGATAAAACATCATATTTTTCCTTTTTGTCCCATTGAAAGTTTATGGGTGAACCTGGAGCTAAATTAAAAATTTGGTATTACTGTTCGATCTTAATTCACTCGGAATGGTGGGAAGTATAGCATATTTATATTTATCACACCGTTGTTGCCGACTGCTGAGAGTTCAACTGTAGAAGTTTCAAAAAAATAATTTGAAATAAAAATACAAACCTGATATATGGGTTCTGAATACTACAGCTTCCTCGTTTTTGTGGAAATGACATATTTGCTTCTGTGTGTGATGGGAAGTGTCAGAGGGACAGCACATCCCCATTTTAGCTTCATAGACGGTGTCGCCATAAATATTGTCTGTGATGTTTGTAGTGATGGCGTTGCAACCGAGGGCCTGGTAATTGTGAGTTTAATCGATTTTCGAAAAATAGGATAAGATAATTGAAACAAGTTTGCAAACTCCTTTATCAATAACATGGAATAGCAGCCCATGACACGGTTCATGTTATGTTCATGATGAAATAAATAAATTCTGCATCAATGTGCAGACTACGTTGTGCAGTGCACAGTATGTCAATAGATATATTTCAGAAATTGATTTATGTATCATTATCTGCTTCTATGAGTAAACGACATAAATTCAAGTTATTATCCACATGTTTTCTTTTCCTGACTATTGCAGATTTATAGATTTGTTTGCGTTGGGACCTCGCGTCTTCACTCACCTCAGAAAAGTATTCGCGTTTGCAACCTCGTCCAAACCCCTGACATTCAGCACCATCAACTGCTGTGTAACTAATTCTTGGTTGTAAATACGATGTGCAATTTAGAGTTTCACGCAGCGACCAACTAGCTTGTAGTTGAGCGGGATAAGAAGTAAAATTGACTTCCAAGTTTTTGATGTTTGATAAATTGCCTATCCCTGAAAAAAAAATTGAGCAAGTAAAAAGAGGACATTGTGTTTTGCGCTGTTGCGGGCAAATTAATTTTTCTTTTCCTTGTTATTATTTGTGTTAGCACTTTGATCAGATATTACAAGCACATGTCATGTGGGTAAACCTAGCATTAGTAAATAAAAATACAGATAAGTTGTCCTTTTGTATCAGCTTATCCGGTCTAACGATTATCGAAAGCATGACATCGTATAAATAATGCCATATTTATTTGAGTCATTTAAACCAATATTTTGATTAAAATGATGAAATTTTAATTTACTGGTAAAAAATTATACGACTCACAAAAGTTTTGCTCTCAAACAAATTGCCTTTTACAGTGTCATGAAAAGTTCAATTATACAAAAAAAAAAGCTCTAACTAACTTGTAGTTTCCGGAGAGGATGTAACAGTCCGTGCGTACGTTACATCATTGTGTCTTTTTATCGCGCTCACGACGCCGACATATTCCTTACACATAGATGAAGATTTCGATATTTGAATGTTTTCTTTGGAACATAACACATTTTCTGATGCTATAATTTTTCGTACGGCAAATGATGTTTCGTTTACTTGTAATCTGTCGATGTGATTAAAGCATAAATGTTAGCAAATGGTTCAATTAACATGAAAGGGTACTCCTGAAGTATACACGCCAAGATGTCGCATAACCTGAACCCTAACCTGGTACACAACCTGAGTTCAGGTTGTGCGCCATCTTGGTGCGCATACTTCGAGAGGTCCCATGAAAGTAAAATATTGCATTATGGATGAAGACTATCAGTGTCGACCGTGCAAGAGAGAATTAGGTTAAGGCCAAATAAACAATCGTATCGGCCAAGATCGTTTGCTTATACTGTTGTTGCCTCAACATTGTACATCGACATGTACATTTTTTTCTAAATTGTTGACGTTCGAAAGAAATCGGCTTTTATTCGCAACCAATCAATCCAAATTTTCAATAGTTAAAGATAGAATAAGCCGTTAGAAGACGATCGCTATTTTCGAATTTCCTCCGATTACAATGAGATCCGATATTTCATACAAAATTAATATTTTGATTCAGGAGAACATTTCTAATGACGCGTGGGATAGATTAAATTTTGCGTCTGTCAGTCGGTCTTTTACAAACTCGTTGCTAAGCAAGTCGATTTCTGTAATGGTACCTATGACTGATACATGGCTTTCATGTCCAAATATTTGATCCTTGCCGTTATGTTTATGTTTTATTACAGCTATTGTGATCTTAGAATACCTTAAACATTGACTTAGGTGTTAAATTTCTAGGTATTAACTAATTGCATATTACACTAGATAAAATAATAGTTTATTTATTTAATAGTTTAGTTTATTTCTCGGTCAATATGCACAACACGATCGTGTTTTTCTCACGAGAAATAATTTGAGAGTGAGTTCTTTGAAATATGACTCAAATATTGCACAATGGGACAATATGCATACATGTTACAGTTTAACAGTGAACATAACTGATATTTCACAGTAACTAATTCTTCATTACCGAATTTACATTATCTCAGCCTGAGTAATATTTTGAACCAATCAGAAGTAGGATATAGTGCGGCCCTTTAGTTCGGTGTTGATAAAGGTTTATACAACTGGATATAGATTGCAACATGAACACACAACAAAATCACATATATATTACATCGTCACCGGAAATTGTTTATTACCTGCTGGTTTCAAATATGTTGATACGGCAGTTTTCGTAAGAATTTTTCATGTAGTTCCAATTTAGGATAAAATCGTCTTCCAAAACATTCAACTCCACACTAAAATTGTATTCTGGAACTGAAAAATGAAAAATATAAAAATTATTTCAAGACGTAATGATTTCTTATTCATTCACACTGATTCCAAGAAGCTTATTCAAAAGTAGATAAGATTCGATTAAGATGATGTACATCATTACTTACCTTCTGATGGAAATACTTGTGCGTTTGTCGTTTCTGAACATCCTACGTTGTTGCAATTAGTTCCAGATATAGATATGCAGTCACTTATGTTAACCGACTGAATATGCGTTGTTTGAGAAGCAGTGAAGTTATACTACAAAAATAATTGTAAAAAATTGAATCACAGATTTTAAGAAAACCCCTATTTTGATAAGGTGAACATAAAGATTCAATATATATTTTCATCAAACAAAACTTAAGAAATCTAACTCTTACCGAAGCAAACACACTTTGGTTACAATACGTGTAAATTATTCTATAATAAAATCCAGGTTCATCCTGTCGTGCATATTTAGCCCATTCAACTGCTATTGTGGTTCCAGTATCGGACGAAATATCAGTCGTAATCTCATTGAATCGTAGTGTTGACATCGGTGCTGGAAAATAAAAATACTGTTATTTATTTTTGTTTACATATAGTTGAACATCGAATGTCAATTTTAATATGAGCATAGCGAAGTCGTTCTTCGTCCGAAATTAAATTTTATTTTCGGACGAAAGGTAGAGAAATAGGCTTTCAGTGTCAGTATATACTTACGAATATCGCCAGTGCTGATGAACGCGGAATTACTCCATTCACTGGAAGGTCCGACAATCAATCCAACAGGTTTAGCAGAAACTTGAACTTGAACCAATGAATGTGACCGACGTATTTGGAAGGTGTATTTCTGTTTGGGTATTCTTTCGATGATCTTGATTGAATGTAAAAGTTCAATTTATTTTGAAATATAATGAATAATGGCACCACACCAAAGCAAAAATGCACTAAATTTATAAAAATTAGCATACAATTATTAAAAAGGGGTATGACATTAAACTGTGATTTTCAAGTCACAAAGTAGATCATATGCAGTACAGTTATATTGAAAATGGTAAGATACATAAAATCGCGCATATTATTTGTAATTATCGAATTGCTTAGCTTTTATAAATAAAAATAATTTTCAAATGCACTAAGAGATAAAAATATTTGGTGTACTCCCAATCCTAAGATGAGCAATGATCAATGAAAGTACAGCTTAATAAAATAATTGAGTTGAAATATTAAATTAATAATGTATTTGATAACAAAAAACTTAGGTATATAGGTATTATATAAATATAGGTGAAAATATTTATATCAATAAAATTTGCTGCAAGAACTCACATGCCAAGCCGTCGTTTCATCTCGAGAAATTTTGTATCGTAAACTATATTCAAACTCAGTTGAAGTCATGTTAGGAGGATTCCAGTTGGCATTTATTAAATAGATATTGGCTCTCTTCCTTATTTGCAATGTAATATTGGTCGGTGTTGATGGCTTCACTGCAAATTAAAATATAATATTACATTTTATTATATATTATACTCTTTTGCGTACATCGATGTTTTGACCTATTTTATGAGATAATAATAAGTGCAATGACTGTGAAATCGGAAGTCTTCTATTTATTCTATTGATGCACGGTAGAGAAAAATTATATGATTTTTCAAATTTACCTCGGAGAGAGGATAGCCGATAAAACGGCTTAATCAAATAGCAAGCCACGGTCTCTCGTCATATCACCAGTTCATTTCGAGTATGAGAATATTTGAACGGCTTTCAGATGCATGAACTTGGGGGTGGATAAAGCCGACGTGTGGTTACGTGAACCCCCCCGCGACTGTGAAAAGTCCAGCAATCCTCTTGCGCATTATCATCCCCCACTGAATTCTAACCTCCCAGTCCTTGCAGAGTAATCAGAGGTGGAATGGAAAACGTATTCCTAACGCTTCACCCGATGCTGTGATATATTATAAATCTATGCAAACGCCGCCAAAACACTTAAATTTCTTACCCCATGATAAAGGATTCTCTAGTTCTGAATTTTTATATTTTGCAGTTCCAAGAGAATTTTCTGATATCAATTGAATGCTAAATTGTACAATTTCATCACGATTATTTGGATTTCCTTCGATTGGAAGATCGCAACATTTTGAACTGATTTTCTTCGCCATTTGCCCTGATTGTATTGATGAACAGCTACCATTTGTCTTCGTCGTATTCCATTTCCGGGTATGAATATCCAGTACACCTTGCCTGAGAAAATTGATTGGAATTTAATTTGATATATGAGTTGTATATAGTATACTATGTTCATGTATTTGGAAATTGTTTAAAATTGATTGAATAAACACAAAGAAATGAGTTTAAACGTGATTTTCTATTCCTGATAATGTCCGTATTTTTTGAACATAACTTCTTTCTCATATGAGTTTGCTTGAATCAACGCACCAAGCCCCAAAAAATAAAGCAAATCACCTAATTTCATTAAAACTAAAATCTGTTAAATTCTACAATTATATATTTATAAATGTTATGACAATATCGATTGATTTGGAATACAAAAATATAAGATTTCTGTTGGCCTACTTACTCAGCTACATATTTCAACGTATAATTCGTTGTGATCCGGGTGGATCGTCCAATATCCCAACAACATTTCGTGTAAGAAAACGAATAGTGGGTTATGCAGTATAGATCTTGAGGTCTATCAGGGGGTTCTGGAAAAGACAGTAAAGGAATGAGTAAACTGGTTTACAGACGACTCACGATTGATATTTCGGTCAAGAAACTACATTTTATAGTTCGAGTAAAAACAGGACAAAATGATACGATGCAACAAAACTAGTACATGAATCTTATTTATTGAAAATTGAAAGTGTATGATGAAAGAGAATATGACCAACAAAATCACTTCTTCACGTTTCCTCCATTCTCTCCCAATGCTAGGTATAGGTTAAGCAAACAATGTTTCCGGGAAGTGAACATTATTGATTTCCCATTAATTATCACAAATCCCAGTAGTCATTTAATTCATTCAAAAATATACAACGTTGTATTTTCAATATGAGGAACAAAAACAAATTTTTCACATTTCGAGAGGAATCTAATTGAATTTTCAAAAAATTGAATTTGAATTTCCCTGGGGTCGTTCTCGCCAAACTATATATTAACAAATGGAAAGTTTCCAGACGTTAATAAGCATTATCTAAGTATTCGCTTTCGTAAGAAGCATTCATGGTTAACAAATCCGCTTTGGAAGATGGTGGATTCTGAAGATGCAATGACCACAATCCCTGGGCATTAAATATTACTTTACTATTGCAATCTCTTCATTAGAAAAACTCATCATGCATGAGAGATTACACCACGGAAAAAATCGAGTGCAATTATAGCAAAGTATAACTTACCTCCGACCAACACATTAATCCAACTAGCATAACTTTGTCCAGTGTTCGAGCATTCGTATCTTCCCGTATCATTGAATTGTACATTTTTGAAGATAAAATTCCGATCTTTGGCCTTCGGTAAAATATATGATTCATTGTACTGTAAGAAACAAACGAAAATGAAAGGTATATGGAAAGTTTCCAAAAATGTAACAACACTATACCTTATTTGGTATACAATACTCAAGTAAAGTAAAATGCCTCTGTCTACGGATTACTCGTCTACTCGTATAACTTTACCTGTCGTATTCTCCAAATCCATGTTGAAGATTCGTCAAATCTATCAGAAGTGCTGCCATTGCAGACCAGTATAAGGCTACTATCAACCCGTACTTCGATTGTCGAATTAGTAAGTACGACCTCGCCTTGACTTGCTGAAGCCATCAGCCCACAATACAGCAGTAACAATATCTGAACATACTTATCCATGTTCTGTCTATTTCGCTTGATTAGAAATAATGTGAAGCCATTTTGTAGTTATTTATACAACACTTGGCGATTAGAATCGCACTGTCAAAACATTCCAAATTGGTATCTCGTAAAACTGTACCCTGATAATGTCGATTCTCGTTTATCAGGTGCATACACTGCAGGAATATTGATTAATATTCTTATCGCCCGGGGCTAATTTGACAATGGCTGAAATTGTTTATCGGTGCCATAATTTCCTATTGATAAATTTGCGTGGTTTATCGAAAAATACGAAATATTTTCACTTGTGAAACCATGCATGAATTATAACATTAATGGAAAAATAAATCAAACTAGAATCAATTCGATGTTATTCAGTATCACGCTACCGAAACTATAATTTACTTCATAGTTGACGTCACAAATGAAAAAAAGAGCCATCAGGTTAGAGTGGATTGTGCGGGATATTTATGGAATAATATTAATATGGTTTTATAATTCGCACCTTAACCGGTTTAGATCTCTACCCGCTGGGTAATCAAATACATTACGAAAATTTTATATCCCCAGTACTAAATCCTGCTTTAAAATTTCCTGGCCTTGTTTTAAACTTATGGATGCTTCCCCGAGCATCGACTTTCTTATTTACCTCCATAACGCCGGCCAATCAGGATAAGTGTAAAATTTGACGTAACAATAAACTTTTTAACAGCCGCTCAGACACTTTTGTCACTCAGACATATTTCTATGGTTGTGAGTATTACCTCGTTTTCGCGGTTTTGCGTGCCATTAGTTTTTAGTTGTGTTTTGGTAAATAAAAGTCTATTGAAAAACCCAATGATCATTTTGTTTCTGTAGGAGTTTTATTTTAAATGCAGTAATCAGAAATTAGTCTATAAATAGCTGTGATAGAGTAGTTTAAACTTTTCTACCGGTACATTTGAATGAAAGGTTGAATGTTTTGAATTAAAATGATGGGTTGAAACATATGACCATGCAGGTTTATAGACGCCAAATTGTAAAAGCACTCTTGAAATGAGTACCAACAATTTTGCAATGGTAGAGTATAGAGGAAGACCATTGTGGGGATCGGAAGTCGGGGAAACATTCATTACGTATGTTGTTTGCATTTTTATTATCCTTTTACGTAGTCGATTGTATTATTTCGTAACGATGCGAGGTTGGTAGTAGCCGCGTGGATTTGCTTGATAAAACAGATAATAAGATTTGTTTATTTTAAATTAAGTAGTTAGGGTGCTGTTGCACTTGTTATTGTTAGGTATTCTTGATTGAATTTAAAATTTAGCAGGGTTAAGAATTTTGATGATACTTTTAGTCACGAAAAATGTTGACAAACTGGTTACTGAAGAATACTCCAAAAAGTCGCCAACGGAATAGCCTATATATCAGAAAAATTAAGTGAGAATATAACACTACATGTAGCTTCATAAATATTTGTGTCTTCAAGCAGTGAGGACCAGCGCACGACAAAAGACTCATCTCCTCACCCTCATCGGATATAAATACATCACTCAAACCACCCTTATAAGCGGAAGTACAGCGAGGAATTTATAAAGCTTTGTTTCACGTGTGTTGCTAATGTCGATAATAGTTTTCAAATTGATAACTAATTACAAGTTTACCAAATGCTTGGGTCGCGAGAAATTGGAAAAAAAAAAATTTGGGCTCGCGCCAAAAGGTAGTTGCGGACTCCTGCACTAACTAACTAGTGCACCCCAAGAGATTTTCAAGTCTTCCGCGGATCTTTTTGCAATTTTAAAAAATAAGCTGTTTGTATTGCACATAGGCATGCATGCAACGGGCAAGTTTGTGAGACTTAAGTGCGCACTATCTATTATATAAATCAGTGGTCGGCAAACTTCAGGTACTCGCGGGCCACATACCGGTATACACATTTTACAATAGCGCACGGGCCGCATTAAATTGCCGCCTGCGAACAATCGCCAAATTGAACTTCAAATAATGCACACTCGCACCTTCCATTCTGTGCAACAGTCGTCCAAATGCCGATCTGACAGGCGAGTACGAAACTTATTTTTAGTGTAATGCATTTTAGATGAAGTTGTTCACAGCGGTATGTGCTTCCGAACGTGCACATTACACGTTTCGCACTGTCGCACAGATGATCGATCAGTTGAGCAGTCTTGGGGTCAAATTTCGTATTTGCAATGACACGTTTCATAATCACGTTTAACATTGGATCCCCTAATAACTGCAATGCTGACTCTCAATCAGGTTTTGTAATACGCAAGAAGGAAAAATATTTTCCGTCCAAGCACGACCCTCATCGCAAATTTCCCTACGTTCCCGGACATTTTTTATATTTTTAAAATTCAAAATAAACTCGACTTATAATTAATCCAACATCAAGTAAACGACATAGGCTACAACTGACGCTACCTACTACGAAAAAGCGCTACACATCAGCCCTTGTTACCACGTACATCCGCGTCGAGACAACAATGAATTTATTATGATTTATTTTTGGATCAACTAAAGAATTCACCCCCCGGACTCGCCTGGGGATGAGATTTTACAGTTGGACTAACCTTTCGGAATTCTTCAGTTGGGGTGGAGATTTTTCAGTTGATCCCGTTTCCCAACTAAAGAATACCCCCCTCCCCCAACCCACCTAAGCCGATAATACCAGTTGATCCTTTATTTGACCTGGACTAATTATTTGTTAGGGTTAGATGGTCTTAGTTGGGGTGGAGATTCTACAGTTGGTCTAACTTTGGAGTGGAGATTCTTCAGTTGGGTACCCTGGGGGGGGGGGGGGGAGATTATTTAGTTGTTCCAATTTTTGTTTTTCGCATTAAAAGTCGGGACGTTCGAGGGCCGCAAAAAATAGTTCGCGGGCCGCAGTTTGCCGACCCCTGATATAAATGATAATATTATTGAATTTGCCTCGTCTAGGCCATGGGCCGAAAGCCGTACGGTGTCGGTTGGTGGTGACTGTTTGGGGGGAATGTCAACTTTGTATCATTCGATTCAGAAATGATTCCTGATTACGGTAAACTAAAGTTGACATTCTAAAAGTGGAGCAATTATGCCCAAGAGGCGCCGAAACTTGCCTTGTCGGGCCACCTTAATCGGATAAATGACGTAAAATCTTTCGTCACGCTTGGTTGGTTTGCGAATAAAAACGTAAAATAGACGTATTTTGTAATTCTTATTTTACATGTTTTAATATTTTCCAATTTATCTAATTTTTTTTTAATCGTAATACCGTTCAAAAACAGCCAATTGTGAACGTTTACGCGCAATTTTGTAATAAATCTCCGCTACTGCTACTACTACTATCCGTCGCTATCGTTGCTAGGCTACGGGCGAAGCCGCCGACTGTCGTCTGCCAGTAGTTCGACTGCTATTATTTTCACGTTTCGTTTGAGGTTCAGTGTTCGGTGATTTCAATGAGATTCCGATAGATATTAAATTATGTCAGAAACCACATGCTGTAAACACTACCATGACTGCGACGATGGCCTTTTGACTGAGATATCGATCAAAAGTTGTAAAAAGATATGGTATAGTTCATTAGCCTGGAAAGATTTGAAATGTGAGGTAGATAAAGAAATAGCAATAAATATTTTGAAGTTGGATGAAGATATTCTTAAAACTAAGCAATGCCACAAAAAATGTTATTCAAAGCTCACGAACATAACAAGAATTAACAGAGCTCGTTCTAAAAAGAAGCCCATAGACACCGAAAATAAATATTAAATGGATTTCAAAACAAATTGCCCCAAACTCAGTGCTAAACCACTCTAAATGCAGATGCGCCAAATTAAATTGCAAGAGCAGCAAATGCCCTTGTGTGAAGTCAGGGTTTTCATGCTCCAGTTTGTGCAGTTGCATTGATTGTAGCAACGCGGATGTCATGCGTGAGGAAGACGATGATATTGATATCGAAATATGGTTTTGACTTTCATGAAGTCCATCCCAAACAACTAAAATAGTGATATACATTCATTATACGAGATAGCACGAGTTATTCCAATTTAAACATATATATTAATAGTGATATATGTACCATATTAGCCGCTTGCTTGTTCATTTTAAATATTTTAATTTCTTTTTTCGCAATTCTTACAACTGTCATAGTAGATCTTAAAGCAGGTGACGCTGATTAGATAATTATTAGGACATGAGAAATATTTTGCCTTTTGTTTTCACATTATTTCTGGCCAAACGCGCTCTTGCTATCTCTGTACTCGTTTTGTGTTCTTTTCATAGCATAGTGTTTTTTAATGTTTATTTTTACCATAATTAGTTTTGTTACTTTTACGGAAGAATATGCCATAAAAAACTAGTTTTGAAATATCCGTTTCTGTGTGTATCGATAGGAAACAGCAGGGATGGTCATTGCAGATTACCTAGTCTCCGCACAATAACAGAAAAAAAAATGTTGAAAAGCAGTTATGACGTCACATTTGACCAAAGAGAAAATTGTGACGTCATTTGATACAAAAACTTACCCCTCAAATATTTTATTTTACGAATCCGTCAAAGGTTTCGGTATTCGACGTACAAATCCTAGGTTTAAGTAGAATATTATATGATAGATATGGGTTGTGAGGGCATGTGACGTCATCGTTAATTGTGACGTAATGCTCCACTTTGGCGATGTCAACTTTTTATATTTAGTAAATTAGGCTTTTAGCTTTTTGACCCACCAAAATTTAGGTTCCCCTTCGAGAGTCACCACGAACTCGATTTTTAAGCGCTTTACAGATTTCGGCCCATGGCCTAGTCGTTGTAGTAAAGAGGAAGGTGCCGACATAATATAGTATTGTGATATCATAATGTTTTTGTAAACAGGACGTCCATCTTCCACCGAATTGACTTGCGCTTTCAGTTGGCAGCAGGAAAGTAAGTTTGGACGAGTTTTGGCTATCTGCTTATAAATTATATTCAATCGTCGGCAAAAGCCATCAAAATATTATATCCATTCGCATCTTCATGGCACTGTAAACACGTATTTTCTGTTTTTGACTGACTAAAATAAAAAGCAAAAAAGGGAGCGACGGAACCTTGTTTTCAATAGTTTCTCAAAACAGCCACTTACATCGCATTAACATTTGCAGAATAATTTGTCTAGGGCTAGCTTTCTTTTTTCAAAGTGTGCCGCAAGATTTTTTTATTTGCTTAGTGCGCCGCGAGCATAAAAAGTTCGAGAACCACTGGCCTATTGGAAAACACGAATATGGCAACGTAAACGTAATTGCGCCCCATAATGGCGTCAAATCGAAAAACTCCGGATGGAAATATCACTCAGGAGTGAAGCGATTCCTGGTACTTGATTTTACGAAATTCGCCAGCAAAAACATGGAACCCACTATTTTACACAATTAAGTTTCGAACAGATGCAAATCCGTAGATTATGCAGTAGCCGCATACGGGCTAAAAGAAGTACCAATATATGCATAATTTGTTGTTACCTTTGACTCCTGCCCGTAAAATTTTGTCCAAGTAAACTTCGTCCTTAAATATTATTCTATTGAGAGACTTTATTAACTTGAGCAGTTTGGAGCATTGTGCTACAACAGAGTAATACAATTTATTAAATTAAGTGGAACAGATACAAGGTCCGAATATACCGGTAGATATTGAGATCTGATCATGTAGTGTGATGATAAAATAATTGAAAACTCAAATTCAATCAGTTTTCGACTTAAGAACTCTGAATATTTGTAATTTTATAAAACTGACAGTATATACTAAACACTAAAATAGATTTGATAAATTATACAAATTTATGCTGTTAAATATTCTAAATGTAGGAATGATTTTCAAATATTAAATGCTAGCACGTTACTGGTACCCTACAGCGGGCCCTTTTCTGTGATTGGCATTTTCGACGCGAAACTAACGATGTTTTTACTCAAGATTCCATCGCTTTCTTTGAGCTCCTGATATAAGAACAGAGCTCCAACTTTTCATACTTCGCACTTTCGTCCCTCGTGCAAACTTTCGGCGCATTGGTGCACCATTGGCGAAGCGAGAAAGTGCAAAGTGAGAATTTCGTCCTCATCGAAAATTACGTCCTCGTCGATATTAAATGTCACAGAAAGCTTTGTTTGATGGATTTGAAACATACCGTAATTCTCTGAAATCGATTTATTTCGCGAAATTGATTTTTTTTAGTAAACCATACGTGAATCGACCGTAAATTGGTATTACGCGTTTCGTATCTTCGTAGTAGACGAAATGGTCACATGTTCCATTTTGTCGAATATCCGTATGAGATGCGTTATTACAGTGAAAATTTACCGTTTTACAATACAATAGAAACTCTACGAAATTGATTCATTCCGGGAGCGCCTTCGTTGTTAGAAAATTCCGTAAGTAGAGACGCATTTTACTGGTAAATGACCTAATCCGTTTCAAGCCCATACAAAACTTGAACATAATGGGTAAAACTCGTAACGAATAGCTACATGTTAGAATTAAATCACTGCATAATAAATAGAAAACGTACACAAGGAAAGAAGAAAGAAAAGAGAAATAACGTATAAAAATTACAAACGGTATGTTTGTGTACCTCTGCTTACAGTCGTCATAATAAAATGAGTGAATCTGAATCGCAAATTTCCATCCGCCAATGATGGAGAATTAAGACCGTAAAACGTGTTTTATTTTTTGAGTCGGCGCTGATTTAAATATTTCATGTCGGCTGCTACGATTTTATTTTTGCTCATAAATTACCGCCAACTTTAACTGGACGATATTGTCATCAACTGCTTCGAGGTAACGATAAAATCCGCGATAGATACTAAATAATATTTAAGAGCTATTTTATATACGCTCTAAAGTAAGCTAAATTGCATTAAAATGAAAAAAAATTCTCGTTGTGTTTGGTCAGTATCGAAACTGAGGATGAAAATATTTAATTAGGCCTACGACACAATTTGCTTTTAGATTTATTGCCTTCTAGTTATTCGATGTTAAGTTTACCGTGTGGCCTTTTGTCCCATACTATTGTATTCTGAGCTGAAATTTGCAAAAATCCACCCGCACAGCTACAATATTTAACAGTCCAAATGAATTCGAAACTCAATGTTGAAAGATACCCTAAATCTCAGCTACAATAATGACCTTAATTATAACTGCGAAATTGAGAAAGCGCTAAGAACATTTGGTAGATTCATTGAAGCAAGTCAAAAACATATAACTGATCAAAGGAATCAATCCTATATAAGTTTCCAACCTGTGGTACCAACAGATACGCGAAGGCCTTCCAGGTGGACGCGAGTACATTTTGTTCTTTATGCGACCAAAGGGAGTTCTTGGTTGAGATGGGGTTGACGTATTTTTCCTCGCATACGTGACGCCATAGAATGTGCATAGATGCGATGCACATATTCACCCTTAGCCTAGAGCAGTGATTCTTAAACGTTTTGAACCGCGCCCCCCTTTGAAAAATTTTACAAACGTTGCGTTTTACAAAATGTTTTAAAAGTTGTTTTATTTACTGTTGGTCGTGATTATTTTTAATGGATAATACACTTGGTTTGAACATTTGACTGATTCATCTTGGTACTACTTACTTTTGGTGTGTTTACGTATGGTTCACTGCATCGCGATAATTGGCTGATTACTTGATTACTTTATGTTATGGCTAACTTTCTAGGGCTTTAGTCTGTCTTTAGATCTGTTCTCAATAGCTTATTAATGGTGCTATAGTCATTGGGTATGAACAATATATTTCTTAAGTTTCTTACATTAGGATAATCTGTTCTGACAAAGCCTCATTTAAATGTAAGTGAATCGGTATATTCTTGCTTTGTATTGTGCCTTGTTGCCTGCACTCATTTTCATATTTATCTTTATTGTTTGTCAGGCCACTTTGTCTTACTGATATCTGGATTAAATCACTTTGGGAGAAATCTATTTGTTTCATTTCGGAATATTAGTTAAAGAGACATAGTAGGCAAGGGTGATTTGTCAATGGGCAGAAATCCAAACTAACAACTATGTGGTTTATTGTTTTTATAATTGAATTACACATTTAAGGGGTCACCAAAGTCTTTAGTGCTTAGGGCACTGAAGGGGCTTAATCCTCCTCTGCATAAAACGCATCGGAGTACAACTTCGCCATTCACTGTCGTATGTATAAAGCCATACTCAAATAGTGGTCATCGACTTCATTATACATTCTCCTTTTCCGCTCAGTTTGCAATTACTGGTAAAATTAAACTAAGTTTTAGGTAAAACTAAACACGCAATGAACGTATGCTTTTTGCGCTTCAATGTATTTTCTGCTTAAATGTTTACATAAGACACGTGAAATTACAATCAATTATTCATCTCATCCCTATTGAGCAATGCAAAAATTATTTACTGTGTATTAATTAAAAATACACAACAATTACAGATTATACTAAATTTAATATACTTTCTGGGATATTATACCAGATCTTTCTAACGACCATAAGGAATCGCTTGAACGCAATATATATCAAAACTAAAAATAATCGGGCAGTTGATCTCACATTATTATGTCCGCGGATTATTGTGGTATTTTAGATCGGTAATGAGTTTATTTTGTTGCGAGTTTCCGCAAACGCGAGTTACCTTGCCTTGAACACAAATGAATTAAAATAGAAACACTTTGCATTCTCGTATGTGTCATAGATTGAATATTACGAGACAGAAAAATTTATATACTGTGAAAAAGGCATTTTTAACGAACGCGAAAACCGTTTCAGAAGCTGTTGCATGAAAATTTCCGATTCCATCTTGTGACCCCTCGCGCCCCCCAGTCTAAGAACCACTGGCCTAGAGTGATCCCATCGTGAAGGTTATTGCGCTTAAACCGATTTATCAAAATGGTAAATTCTGTTAATACGTCTGCTCAAAATATTCAACTCTTTAACCTGATTTGTGAACAGCTAAGACGAAACAAAAAGATTGTCCTTCTGGCTTAGCATGGTCTGCTCGTTCTCACGCTACTTCATGGTTGCTAATTTCACATTCTCGAGTAGTGCGAGCAATGATTGTCATCACTGGCTATTGCAAACTACAGTACTGAGGAATTGAAAAATTGTGGTTTTGAAATGAGCTTGATCTTAAGCTGATATAAAACTGGAATTTTATCTATTCCAGTATAAAGTCTCTCGAAATGCCTAGACAATGTGTAGTCGGTGGTTGCACCAAAGCTAGTTTAAAGTACGATTTTGACATCATTTTCGAAAGAAAATACAAAGTGTCTTTTGTGCTTTTTATTAATGCTAAATATGCTTGCAAGGTGTGAATGAAAAAGTAAACTATAGTTAATAACTTTTTCGAAATAATGTTTGAAGACACCAAATAGATGATTAAAAGCTCCAATGACGTTACTAGCAATGAACGTGATCAAACGTCGAATATTACAAAAACATCGTGTAAACGTTTTTTTACGCTTATCTACATATAATTTGGATCGCACAAGAATAAACTGTTCTTGTAAAAAAGGTATAAACTTTCCAAGAGAAATGTCTTTATTATTTTTGAGACGCATCAACTAATATCTACAAATGTCAAAAAATAGGTATATATGAAAAAAAATCATCGTGAATCAAATTTTACCAACTAGCTGCGAATTATATGCATGGAAGCTATATTGAAATTATTACACAATCAAATTTAGAATCCAAACAACTAGTTTAGATTATTATTATTAATGCACGAATGTAATTACGTTAATACCCGAATAGTTATTTCATGAGATGTTTATACAAAAAAAGCCGTAAACTTTACCATCCGCCGATAATTTCTAATATCAAGTTATTTCGAGTAAAAATTTATTTAATAATATGATATAAAGTTTTTAAATGACAATGCTACATTATTTGCATTGGTGTTTTGACATTTATATATATACTCAAACAAAAGCATAGCTTACAAATCAAATTTAAATCCGTATCAACCAAGAAATGATTAAAACAATGCCTGTGAAGTTGTGCAATTTTATCAACATATTTCCTACGTCTTTTTTGTATCAAGGTGGAAAAAAAATTCATATCAAAAGTGAATATGTATTCTTTTTTGTTGCAACTGGTTTGCGGCATTCTCGTGGGACAGTTCCACTATATCACCGTCACATATTCGCCATGCCATCTTGCTTCCGTATTCCTGTGGTTGATGATTGTTGAATTCCCACGCCGATTTCACTCTTTCGAGTTCCTGATCCTTCATGAGCTTCCATTTGGTCGATTTCATCTAACATTAAACTTGTGATTATCAGTTGATTTTTTAAACTTATTAGAAAAAAGCATAATTAATAAAAAGATACATATATATATAGCACGTTTTCAATAAAAGACGCAATCAATTCTAAGATACACTTTACCTTTCGCCCGGCGCCTACAGAATGAACTCAATTTCTTCCATACAACTGTAGGCTCCAAATAGTAGATTACTGGATTAAATGCACTGTTGATGGGGATCAATATAAGAGAAATTGCAAGGTAGCCATCCAGTGATATATCAATGCCTATATGAATATTTAAAAAATCGATAAACATACATGTCAAATGGATTGTATATATATACGAAAATATGCAAGGTAGTCGAGATAGTTGATAATAAGACAATTTCGGTGCATAGAAGACTATGAATACAAATCTGCTGAGTAATTGTGAAATGATAGAAGGTTCTAAAGTATTAGTTATGCGTAGAAAAATACATTAATTTGGTAGAATGGGAAACTTTCGATATTTGAACAGAGTATTTATTTATTATATATGAGATATCTTGCAGAAAGGAGGTGGAAATATTTGCTTATTATCAAAGTGTGAGGTACTTGGCTACTTACCTCACAAGTAAACCAAGTGGAATATTTATTTCAACCTACATGGAATACAACTTAAACCGTGCTTTCGGGAACATTTGCTCATTATTGCTTTATAAACTATAGTTTACTGCGTATAAAGCACAAGCCAATCGCCGATATAGCCTTTCCACCTACCGATCACTTGTAAAATTCCCATAATGCAAACTGGCATCCAGCAGCAAAAGTCCGTTAACAAGATGAAGCTGATTTTTTTTTGCAAAGCCTTAGATCTGCCTGAACTAGTTGATTCCACCGCTCGGTTGGTTTTTACAGATTTCCTTAAAACACAATAATCTTTAAATATAAATTTTACATTTGCTGTAGAAATATTTTATCAATTATATTCCGACGTTATTGTGTTATTAATTAGCGGTAGGCAAGATAAAAACGCAGATCAATATTCTGGAACATATTGACTTATGCAGTCAACTATTTCAGACCACAATGGTTGTCTCGTCCTAAACTAGCAAAACTAGAACATTGTTTGCCAACCTATGGGTCGCGACACAAAACTGGGTCGCCTCAAAATTCCCCTGGGTCACTTGTTTTTCTAAAACTTTCATTTATTAATTTAAATTTATATTAAATTTTTTTTATTTGGTTTTCATTTGGTATTGAAGTGTTGGTCAATTGTATATGTGGAAAATATGACAGTGTGAAAACGTTGGAGGGATTTATTTTGCTCAAGTAAAGCCACGCTACGGATTCAAACTCGTTGAGAGCAAACAAGCACAATTTTCCTAACTTTGAAGTAATTTCTGGTAAAATAAATGTCATGTAAAATCGATAGTTTTGTATTAATAATTAAATTTTGCGACCATACAAGCACTACATGCCGCCTATTATTTAAACAAATCCTTCGGTCGCGTAATTTTACAAAATTCATTTTTTTAACAATTTGGGTCGCTTGAAAAAAGATTGGGAACCATTGAACTTGAAGTAGACATAAATCTGTTTACCTGTATATTATGACGTAACTAATGAAAATAACGAAGAAAGAGGAGAAATTTATCAACATAAATATGAGCGAATAACCCCATGATTTGTTTGTTTTGGGGTCCGGAAGCAAACGAGGGAGACAAACGCTGTGTGCTGAGTAATATCCAAATTTCTTAACTATTGTGTAGTTTGGATTTATTTGCATTGCAAAATGTTCAAGCATATCCCAGGATCCAGTAATTCTGAAAAGCATAAGAAAAAAGCGGTTCCATTACATTTGAACCCACGTACATTTGAACCCATGACAATTGCACCTGTATGCTATTGCACCTATGGATTTTTTTTTTGTTTCACGGATAGTTAAACCCATACTCACCCTAACCCATGGGTTTTAGCACCCGCATATAGATTGAACCCGTGGATATACGCATGGGTTCAAATGTACGTGGGTTCAAATGTACGGTCACCGAAGAAAGCACATATATATAAGAATTGTTAAATATTTTGATGAACGATTCTTTGGGAAAATAGCAATTGCCGGGTATTTATAGAAAGTAGCAGAGTACCCCCGTTTTGGGCTGATCATCTTTACAGTGTTAAATGAATTCACGCCTTGTTGTAGTAACAGCTACCTTGCCAATATCTTCCTAACTTGACCTTTCGGACAGCACGCTTTAGGCCACTGGAAGATTTAAAAGTATAGCATGAGAAACAGCTGATAGAATGATTTAGAGTAACTTGTGAGTCTAAAAGGAAACATCGTCTGAATACGAGCTCATCTATTTTGACACTTTGATGACTCATAATAGTTGAGCTAAACAGTCATCTATCTATTGCTCCGTGTTTCTTCGAAAATAAAACCTAGCTTGGAAATAAGACCTAGCCTGAATTTTAAAAATGATTTTTATAATAAGACCTCCCCATAGAATAAGATCTAGTCGAGATTTTAACTTGGGTGGCAAATTCGTGGAACAAAATCACAGACGGCTGTGTTAATTAACAACGCACTGAAATCGGTCTACCTAGATAGGAAATTCTCATTCAATGAGGCCTTTATAGCTCGACATAAAACTTTAGATTCAAAAATTTGCCAGAAAATTCAGTTTAATGAAATCTTCGTTCAAAATTTATGAATTTAGTGACTTGCGAGATTTTCCAATGGATGATGATATGGTCATTTTTGAATAATCTATGTTTAGCAGCTTTTTTTAAAATAAAAACGTGTTATTTATAAGTAAACTTATATCGGTTTTCATAGGTTGTGTATTTAAAAATATCGTAATTCTTTAACTTTGTAATTATGTTTTAAAATAATGAAAATAAAAGACATCCCCCGAAAATAAGCCCCAGTGTTATTTTTTGACAGAAATTGAAATAAGACCACGTCTTATTTTTTTGGAAACGCGGTAATGTAAATGTTCCATTTTCACCCATTGATATACTTAAATTTACACTCATTAGATGGTTACGTCTCCTTCAATTGACGACAATTTACATCAATTGATCTAATTTGATTTAAGGATAACGATGGTAAATGGATGTTAAAATGTAAAATCGTTTACGTGGAATTATTAGTGTTGATAATTCCTGTCACGAGAAACCAATTGTTCAGTTCATCAACTTCAGTACTTTTGACAGTTGCAAAAAACGGATTGGCAGCAAACCTGTAACCAAGAAAACATAGTTCGTTTGTATTAAGCTATTAAATATAAGAATGGGATAGATTTTTCACTCGCAGTCTAGTCGTTGTAAATCATGACATGAATTGGTATGTATATAAATCTTTTCTACTCTAATTCGCATTTGGAATAAATCAAATACATCTTTCGTTCCAAAACTCTATATAATTTATAGGGGAAGTCAACTAGTCCTATAGGCTGTGAAAAACAGTTATCAATAATGAGAATAGAGTTATAAAATGAGACTTCAGACGACCTGGATATATCGTTTCGAATACGGAATTTCTATTCGTGAACATTTTCATAAATTGACTACTGGCTTAGACCAGAGTAGGAAAAAGATAGGATAGGATTTACATATATATATATATATATTCCGAGAAAGAGAAAAGCCGATAAGGTGGCTCATTCATATGACGAACCAATGCCCCTCGTCCGGTTACCACTTCATATCGGGTATGCGATTAGCTAACCAGGTATTATTATTTATTTTATTTTTTGGAAGCATGGACTTGATGGTACAGGAAGCCGTAACCGACCAGCGGTTACGTGAATCACTTTGCGATATGGCTAATATAAACTGATCGGCTAAGTAATTTGAATTTCTTTTAGATAAACTACGTGTCGGGATTTTGACCAGTAGCCCACTTAAATTTGGGAATGATATATTAATAAAGTACAGCATGCACTTCCGCAATAAAATGAATGACGCAATAATAAAGTCCGCCACACCACACGTACCTGACACTATCAATGAAATAATCTTCAAAAACTGCAAAGGGGAGTAGCGGAAATAAGGCAAGGATGATTGAAGTAATCCAAGATAATGCTATAATTTTGAAGAACCAATTCAGTGGAAATCTCTCGAATGATCTGCAAAGGTAAAGATTGTTTTATAATTAACAAGAAAACATGAACAAAAACAAACCGGTATTTATCTTCGGTATTTTGGTTTCGCATAGTTCGTTTCTTCGAAAGCTTCAAAACATGATTTCACTTTTGCAAAAATGAGTTTTCATGCGATTCAAATAGTATAGTCATCGAACGGTTACGAAAGCCCGTAACCCGTATCAGAAAAATCTAACAACCAGCCAACTTTTCTTGCTCATGGTATAACTAAGTTTCTCTTATGCTGCTTTTATTGACATTTAAAATTTAATATAAAACACCAACGTTGCCTTTTGAATTAAAGACGAATGATCACAACTAAAATCTCCTATATTCTATTACCAAATTGGGTACTCCCGTAGTGTGTGTACCAGGTTAAGGTTAGGCTATATTTTTTTTCTGATTTTCCTTATTTTAGTTCTATTTCGAGTTCGGGGACTGTCTGTGTTACCCAAGTGAATATACCCCCTGCCAATAGCAGGCTTATGTCCCTTTACACAACTTGATGTAAAGTAGACGAACAAAATTAGTTACCTCATATTGGTACGCACATTTCTGGAGCGCCCGAAATTGTATCAAATCTGACTTACTTTGATATTGATCTTGCTCTGAAAGAACTAAGCAAAATTAATGTAAAAACTGACGATTCTGAACCGATGACTAAAATAACTCCCAGAGCTGAACAAGTTATTCCACTTCGCCATTCCTGGTCCTCTTGGCAGTAATGACCGGAAGATAGAAGAGATTGGAAGCAGATAGAAAGGTTGTATATCTGATAAGCATGAAAATCGGAAAAGTTATGAAGATAGAATTTTCAAATGTATTCCGGGGGAGAAGAAGGTCGATAAGACGACTTAATCATATGACGTACTACGGCCTCTGGCCCGGTTACCATTCAATGTTGAGTAATGGATTACTTAGCCAAATGCATGAACTCGATGGTGGGAGAAGCCGTAACCACTCTACGGCAGTGAGAAGTCCAGAAATCCTCTTGCACATAATTACCCTTCACGATATTCAAAACCACACTGGGTAATCGGAGGTGCGATAGCAAGCGTACGCCTAACGCTTAGCCTTAGCACAATTCACTATATCGCCGAGCGCATAACATTTCTTATAATAAATAAAATATAGCTTCGACTTTAAGAAACACATGCTTACCCCAACTAATAAATCAGAAATTGAAAGGTTCAACAACAGCATTTTATTTTTTCGTTCGTTTCCTTTTGGTCTCCCCCGTCGACAGAAAAAATCATGAACAGAATAGATGATGACAAGAATATTTCCTACAACAGCTGATATACCTGGATGAATATATAAATAAACTATTTTAAATATTTCCACTCTCTACATTTTCACTCTTATTGCAATTGAAGTTGTGTTTGTACGTGTCCGGATTCCACAGTATTCGCCGTAGAAAATCGCGCCTCAGGAAATTTTGCTGCCTAGGAAAAATCGTCGCAAGAGCATTTTGCTTTAAAACAACTATTTGTGATAACAGTTCAAAAACAGTTATATTTATAAGGTTAGGGTATGCTCTTGAATAACGTATCTTACTTTAAATAAAAAAAAGTACTTCAAAAACCTAACTGTTTTTATCACAAATACTTGATTTACAATAAAACGGCTCTTGCGACGATTTTCAATGCGGCAAAAATTTCCTGCATGTTATAACACACAAAATAGCATTAAAATCATATTGATCATGAAAAGTACTTACTAATTATCCATGCTGCTATCAAAAAGTATTTATTTTCAATCATTTATTCTTCGTTTGAAAAAACGCTGTTTGTGCATTCTTGACGACATTTCACTTCATCTTTCCCACTGGTACAGTCCTTGGCCCCATCACAAGCCTAAATTGAGTCGGAAATTATCCGGTACTCCCGAAGTATGTGAATCAAGATGGCGGACAACGGAACGTAGTATGTGTACATGGTTATAGTTAGGCCCTAATTTTATTCCAATTTTTCTTAATTTAGTTCTATTACGAGTTCGGGGATCAGGCAAGTGACACCCGTAGTATTTGTACCCAAAATTATGGTCTAACCCTAACCTGGTACACATACTACGTTCCGTTGTCCGCCATCTTAGTTCACATATTTCAGGAGTACCAATAATCCAATACATTCAAAGAAAGCATAATGCAATAAAATGAGATTGAATAATTTTCTTTTTTTATAAATATATTTGGATCTGTGCATTATAATAATTCTATTTTAGAGTATCAAAAGCATTCATATTTTCGATGTTATTTCAAATTTATTTTTAAAATCAATATATCTTTATTGGTATTGCAAGCTTCATCACAAATTGGAGTTGCCGCTTAAGAAATATTAAACAAAGTTGCTATTCAGATCGTTCCGGTCACGAGTCATTAACTTTAGAAATGATTCGAACCCTATTTCTGTTTATGTATAACACTTTCCCGCCATCTTCGCAATAAAAATGTGTTTCGTCAGTACAGTACATTTCATCGCTATCGTCATCACAATCCTGGAAAATCAAATATTACTAATTAATTAACTGACGCTCCAGAAGTATGTGTGCCAATACGGAGATAACGAATTTTGTTCGCCTATTTTTACAAGTTGTGTAAAGGAATTGAAATCTATGGGCAGGGGGATATTCACCACTTAGCTAACACAGACAGTCCCCGAACTCGTGATAAAAAGGAGTACCAATATTTTACTACACTACACAATTGTATCGTATACGAATGGAAGAAGTATGTAGAAAATAAATTTAAAATAAAATTTTATTTTTTTCAATATTTTTGGTTTGTTTCCCCAGATTTCTTTCAATTCCATATTATAAATAAAATACTTCTACTTTCCGCATACAAAAAAGCGATTCCAATTTTTATTAGTCTTTTAATGAAATTTATTAGCAATAGTTTATATTTATCCTTACAATTTTTTTAATTTTCCGAAGTTTTTCTTTTTTTAGTGTGGGCATATTTTACAGCCTTTACAGTTATTCTATATTTAAGTAATTTTCCAGTTGATTATTTTTCTCTCCACAATTTTATTGTGATAGATACATTAATATTAATTAACGTTAATACAGAAAAAGAGTCACTTATTAAATGTTTAAATTGAGAATATTATTTTTATATAGATAATGATACTAATAAAGGACGATATAGGAATCCTACCTGAATCGTGTCACATAGTTTTGAATCGGGAATGTTGATCGGTAATCCGCTTTTACAGTAAAATCTGAATGAGATTATGTTTGCTAATTTGATAGAATTCGATCGCATTCAATCATTATGCTCAAATATACTGTATATTACATTTCATAATAAACGGCATATTGGGTTATCCTTTCTACAAAGCTCCAGTAATTTTTATTTACAAGAATCATCAAATATTCACTCTACTATCATAGAAAAAAATAAAAATAAAAGAAAGTTTTGATAAAAAAAAGACGGCGCTCCAGAAGTATGTGCACCAATATGGAGGTAACTCATATTATTCGCCTACTTTACATAAAATTGTGTAAAGGGACAGAAACCTATAGACAGGAGGTATATTCACTTGGCAAACACAGACAGTCCCCGAACTCGTAATAGAACTAAAATAAGGATAGTAATAGGAAGTATATATAAAATTATGACATAACTGTAATCGGGTACACACACTACGGGAGTACCAAAAAGACTTGGTAAAGAGGTAATGAAATGTAATTGAAAAGAATGATCTGTACAACATATGATAGAAATTAGCAACTGATGTATTGGGAAAGATCAACAACATTTTCCAAGAGGAACTGTGACAAAAAGATACTATAAGTTATAAACTATATAGCACGACGGGTTCAAGTTTGCTTCCAAACTAATAAGTTTTTAGTTGTTGTTTAAAGCATCCTTAGCATCCTTTTTGTCATATTTTTGAACAAATTTAGGTGAGCATACAATTACCTTTTTGTGCAATTCAACTCGTCGTTAGTTTTGGTAGTTTTAGTTTTTATGCAATCTCTATATCCGTTACAAATCTTGGAGCCAAGCAATATATCATCGATTCGGTTACATTCGATCCATGGACCATCCATGTAGTGCTTCTCATCACATTCCCTACATTTAAACTTGTCTTCTCTACTATCCCTGATAAAATTATTGAACAAGATTAACTGGACGGCAGAAATATGAGTGCGTGTTATTTCACTGGTTAACTTTACAATTACAAATTTGAATAATAATACAAACTGATTCATTTTAATAATTACTACGTAATATTACTAATTTGTCGGCGCTCCAGAAGTGTGTGTACTAATATGGAGATAACTAATTTTGTTCGCTTACTTTATCAAGTTGTGTAAAGCGACTGAAACCTATGGGCAGGGGATATATTCACTTGGCTAATACAGACAGTCCCCAAGCGCGTAATAGAACTAAAATAAGTAAAATCGGAATAAAATTATGGTCTAACCCTAAACTGGTACACACAAAACGGGAGTACCGAAATATGAGTTCGTGTTGTTTTACTGGTTAACTTCACAATTACAAATTTGAATAGAAATACAAAGTAAAAACTGATTCATTTTCCTAATTACTAAATAATATTACTCAATATTAACACAGAATTGAGGTTTGTTCGGACATCCCTCACATTCTTCATATCGGAATTCGGTGCAGAGAGGAATTCCGTCACATCTTGTTGACCATTTCGCTGAAATTACATTTATATCCCATTACCAGAAATAGATTGTGGTCAAAACATGACTAAACAGAATATGCCATGCAAACACAACAATCAGCAAAAACAATCAGGGCTGCCCAAAATAAACTGTCATGTTTTACACTCTTCTCGGATATTTTGCAGAAAGCCCGACCAAAAAACAGCCCCGCCACCTCTCAAATTCAAAAGAGTAATCGTTCAGTTACAATTTTCATTCATTGGTGGAATTCAGCGATGTCAGGGTTAGATAGGCGAACGCGCCATTACTTAAAATGAGGGGGGCGCAATCCACAGTACTTAAAACGTGGCGGGGATATTTTACTCAACTCTTTTTGCATTAGTGGCGGGAAACTTTCTACGAATGATCCCTCTCCAGTCTCCTCCTTTTGTTTCTTGGCCGATTTTTTCACCAAAGTTATCGACTACAAAGTGGGTATATGGATCGATTTGTTGAAAAGCTGGTAACCCGCACCACGGATGAAATTTGGATACGCAATTGACAAAAATAGATGGTCAGTAGTCAGTACAATAATATATTTATTTAACAATGGAAGAAATCCTCGTGAAAAGTATAAATACTCACGTTCGTTAGGACATTTGAAACCGCATTTTTCATCCGGTGAGCGGTTGTTCCCTAAACCTAAAAACACAAATAATTTTGCATATTGATTGGTGTGTGAAGTGGTGGATAAACGGCACTTCTACAAATAGCAAAACCTTGTTAGGGCAAATGAGGGAAAAAATGTTTTAAAATTCATGTATTTTACATTTTTATATACTAGATCCAATATTTAAAAACAGATTCTTGGAAGACCATGAAATATGAGCTTATGATACCCACATTTAAATTGGTACATTTAAAATCAATTATTTATTAAAATCAAATCGATTTATTCACGAGAATCTACTTACTGACATGAACAAACTACGGCCCGCGGGCCAAACTCGGCCTGTTGAGTAATTACATCTGGCACGCCTAATGCTGTCACAAACCCTACTAAAACCAAATTTTGATGTTTTAGCTGAAAAATTGCTCAATGAAATTGTTGAGATTGCGATTAAATTTAGATTTGGCCTATTAGCACGAGGCCTATTGTTTTCCGTATTTACTTTTGTAACACTGTAAATATTGTTCATAAAATTTATCTTTTACGTCACACTTACATTGGTCCGAACTTACTTACCCCTGGTCCAAAAACCTTGCCCACCCTTGAGTCTACTACATTCATAAAAAGGTATTAAGTTTGTACATATCCAGAAAGTATTTTACCTGCGAGCAACGTCATCGAACCAATTTCAACTGATCATTTAGTACCGTACTTTAATATTTCGTGCGATTTATGTTTATCAACATTTGCATTGAACTTATGATATTTGAAATTTTTATTCAAGCCCCATGCCAATTGGTATTTAATCGTTTTCATAAATCAATGGTATACAGTGTACAGGGGTGTGCAACTTGCGACCCACAAGGAAAGATTGTGCGGCCCGCGGAGAAGTGTCAATTTTGAATGGTGTGCGGCCCGCGAAACGAGTTTTTGATCTAGTTTAATCTTCTACGTGCGAGCAATTCCAATTCCTTTGCGCTGTAAAGGTTATACTTGTGCTCGCGCAAAGCGACCAACGCATGTCAAATGATCAATAACAAAAAATTTTGTGCATGCGACTACTAGAAAGTATTTGTTAAATAAAGGTGAGGCCCGCGGTTTCACCCAGTTATTTGTATCCGGTCCTCCCTTATTGAAGGTCGCACCCCTGGTATGCACAACTGTTTCTTGTACGAAAATGAAACTGAACGCTTCAGGTCTCGGTGAGTTGTACATTGGGAAAAATTTCACGATGGCAATCTACGGGCAAGTGGTATTGAAGATTCAATATACATATATACAAAAGTGATATTTATATTCTCAACCATACCTTTTGGACAACCGCGTTTAGCGTGGCATTTTTGTTCATCACTAGAATCTGCACAATCATCTCTGAAACAAAATTTTATCAGTTGTTCACGTTAACTCGAATGTTTAACGTTTCCTATTTTATATCAACTTACCTCCCGTCGCAAATCGAGGCAGTAATTCGCGAAAGACCTCCGGTCCGTGGAACACATGCAAACTCTTGTCTCAGTCGGTTTTCTGGATCTAGATTTAAAATTATGTAACTAAACTGTGAATCTTTGAGCTTAAATCTTTCTACTCACCCCATGAAAACTTAGCGTGACCGCAAATTGGTGGAATCGCTCTTTTCCTGCAAATACACTCGTCTGATGCGTCGGGACAGTCTATTGTGCCATCACATACTTTACCATTAATTATAATTGTTGGGTGGTTCAAACATCGGAAGCATTTATCGTTGAATAACTCTAAAATAAAAACAGAATCGAATATTATGAGAATGCAACATTTCTGCATTTCATCGATAACATTATATTTTACCTGGAAATGTGTTTTTTCCCTTCGAGCAGAGACACTCGTCTTCTCCTGAAATTGTTCACACAATGGATATAATTTCTCGCGAATGTATTATTTATATATATGTAAACTTACGAACAAGGGCATTCTTTTGGATAGGGTAGGATTTACATATTTATCCCGGAGAGATGAAAGCCGATAGAACAGCTTAATCATATCATGGCGAACCACGGCCACTTGTCCAGTTACCAGTCCATGGCGGGTATGGGATAAGTTAGCCAGTTATTTGTTTTCAGATGCATTGACTTGTATGAATAAAGTCAACACCTATAGTGACAAAAAATACGAAAACTCCAACAAAGAAGCATATTTTGTCATTTTATACATTTACATTCATAATATATTAAATCAAGAAATCGGTGATTGCATACACACAATATCTGTGCATAAGTTAAGATCGAAGCATAATAGCGGTTACGGCGCAAGCGAAGTCATGCGCGGCTCATTGTGCTAAGTCCCCCCTGATCACCCTGCGTGGTTTCGCAGGTTCGAATCCCGCGGGATGTTAATATGTGAGCAGATCGCTCACATGGAGCGGATCGCCTTAGAATGTTTTACGTAATCGCTGGTCGGTTACGACTTCTCTGTCATCAAGCCCTTGCATCTGAAACGGTATGACTTACTGGACTAACTGAATGTCTGTTATGATGTCATAAATCTCAACTTCAGAGGCCGCGCAGTTGCTTTTTATTATCACACAATGAGATCACTGAGCACCCTAATATGTGATCCGCAGAACACCGGTTGAAAATCACTCATTTAGTTAAAGAATTACCTTCAATACAATCGATCTTTCCGTCACATATATTTTGTTTAGGAATCAGGCATTTAGCAATTTTTCCAATCATAGTTATGCAAAACAAACCGCCCTGCGTTTCATTGTATTGTTCCGTGGTTCCTATTTCGTCGCTTCCATCCCTTGTAAACAAGTAATCGAAATACTTTAATTCATTTTATGACGTCACAACATTTTTATTTTCATAATGAAGATATTGAGCAGATACGAATAAACTGAAAACGACAATGCATCAAAGTGGTAGAAATTACACAAATATATATGGTAATATTACAGAACAAACAGACAGACGCAATCAAAGTTCCAGCCAATGCGTCTCATGTTTCATTGAATCCATTCGTAAGAATCGCCTTTAGGATATTACGAATGTTAGAGTCACCGATTCGGCTCACGCAGGCCCGATTATGGAGGTACGTGTATAAACAGCAGGCGAATCTACGGCTGGGCATTTTCGTATACCTCATAATTTCATGCTTTCGATTATTTTTTTGAGTCGAATCTAGCATACATGGGAAAATTTTAATTGTATCTCCAGGTAATAAATTACTGAAGACATAGAATTTATCAGACAGAAAGTTTGCTGAGTGTTTACACATAATAAGAAACATGTTGCATCAGTAACTCACTGGGAAGGAAACAGTAATTTGTCAGTATTGTATTGTATTGTGAAAATATGGCTTCAATAAATAAAATTGAGGGATTCTTTCCGCGAATTGAAGAATAATGGAAAACAAAATTACCATGATTCGAAATACTCAGCTCTAGACGAAGCTCGATTGCCGATTAAACATTTTACGTAATGGAATTATTCTATCATTATTATATCGTTGAATATTGACTTTTTTACTAAATACTTACGCGCAATCTTTCACTCCATCACACAGTTGGTAAAAGTTGTAACAACCTGAACCATCGTTACATTTGAACCGATGGATGCATGCTGCTTCCGGCGTAGTTGACTCTGTTGTGGGAAAGAATGAAGCTATCATATCAATCAAGAAATACTAAAAATGAAACGGCTAAGTAGTCTTCATTGGAACAAAATTTTTATTTTACTATTTTCTATTTATAGCCAGTCTTTCGAATCTCCAATAAAATAACATTATTTTATTTTAAGATATTTTAATTTAGAACAGAGCTTATTGCGATTCGAATAAATATTTACCTAAAATAACTGCATACAAAATGGTAGTTATAAAATAGGAACTGGAAAAAAGTTCTTGTGTAGATTGACAAAAGCTGATTATAATATCTGATGGACGGAATGCATGTATTATTGGGCGCGAAGTGGACCTACAGATCGTTTTGCTATTATATTGTTGTTAGAATTCTTTTTCCTGTTGTTACGAAAAAATTGATTTTCTTTTTAACTGCTTGACTAACTGCTTTGCAATTTTCAGTAGTTAATGATTACTGTTGTGACGTAGCAGTGATATTTGAATGGCCTAGTCAGGGGGGGGGGGGGCAATGTAAATATTATTACGCCACGCCCGCTAGAAGTACTTGTGGTACGAAACTACACTGATATACGGTAGCCGTTCTAAAGTTCCTAAAGTAAAGTATTATTTGAGAGATTTATTATTTCCGATCAATGGGAACAAGATTTTAGGTGCCAAGTGCAATGGCTTCGATTTTGCAAAATCTTGCGACGCGGAAGTCGGAAGTTTTTTTAATAACGGTGACGCGCAGTAGGTAGGTATGTTACTGTAAAAGCTAAAGTACTTTAAATTAATTAATGGTAAACTTGTGAGTTGAATAATTCAAAATCTCATTTCACGTTGGCGCAAGACACATAAATCAACGTTGGTAAAGCTGGGCAGTCCGGCTTCCGGTACTAGTAAGCGACAATAGTCGGTACTCCCGTAGTGTGTGTACCTGGTTAGGATTGTGCCACAATTTTATTCCGATTTTCCCTATTTTAGTTCTATTACGAGTTCGGGAACTGTCTGTGTCAGCCAAGTGAATTTACCCCCTTCCCATATAGGCTTCCGTTCTTTTACAGAATTTGATGTAAAGTAGGCGAACAAAATTAGATATCGCCATATTGGTACACACACGTCTGGAGCGCCCAATATTCAACAGGTTCAGCTTTATCCGGAATATGGGGAAAACATTTAGTTTTGAATTAATTTGTCCATGTAAGTTCTAGTAGTCTATTATTGATAGTTTTGTTTCAATATTGACTTACTCCTTCGTGATGCTCGCACCAAATGTACTGGAAAAATATCGCACATAAACAGAATAGTCAATGTCCAAATTATATCCAGTTTCTTCATTGTTTTCAGGAAAATATGAATGTCACAAAAACTCTGAATCAGTTAGAGCAGTATTCTAATATTAAAAGATATTTTCCTCCTTTTCTCCAAACAAAAATACCTGTTTGAAATAAGACCAAAAAGATATTGTGAGGTTATCATACTGATTCAGATCACTATATTCTCCTTTGAGCAGATTTGAATGAATATGAAGTGGCGTCTTAACACTATTGTCACGCTTCTATCGCTTGCACCACTGATGCCATCTGCAGTAAACTTACGTTGCACCTTTCACCCACCACTTGTGCATCTTGTACCCCTTGTTTTACATGTCATAATTTTTCTCAATTGTGTGTCCCTTTTGCACCACATAGATCATTCAGTTTTCTACTAAATGTACTTCATAAAAAGCATTTTTTCTGATATTTTCTATATAATAGTATTACCTGAATGTTCCGCAATTTTTCTATAATAACCTATGATAAAGCATCGCCATCGATTCGTATTGACTTTGCCAAATTCTGCCCAACGCTTCCGGAAAGAACTAAGACCGTGACCAAATTAAGAAGGAAAATGTTACACAATCTTTTTTGCAGACTGTGCATGTTGGGTTGATCACGTAAAGGACATTATTTTTTTACGCACAGCGTAGTAAATATGATTGGATATAGAATAGATTCACGATTTTTTTTTGTATTTTCAAAAACATTTAGTATTTAATATTTAAGTTTATTTTTATATATTGTGGGCATTCCTAACAACACTGAAAAAATTTAACATATATTAGAAAAAGATAAAATTCAAAAAGATAAAATTATGGTTCGCCGCGAATGTCTCTTCCTCCCTCCTTCAACTTACCCAGTCAAAAATAGTCACCGTTTTTTAAAACTGCTCAGGCCTCTTCCATTAAAATATCACAATTCAGCGAAATCGATTTTCTAACATACTCGGTATATTTCTGTATCAAGTTCATATGTTAAAATTAATTTTACGAAATAAAAGAAAAATTATTGCACTCACATGCAAGCGCATTATTTCATGTCTGAGAACTTCAAACAAACGATTTGAGCAAATTCAAGAACTATTTTATTTTATTTGTAGACATGTGTATTGTGGTAGAATTTCTAAATTGCCAAGTGAAACTGTTGTTTTTTATTTATTTATTTTTTTTTTAGCTAAGGGATGGTAATAAAACTGTTGCAGCGTAATAAAATGACATTATCGAAATTGCGGAAGACACATATTGAAGCATATTAGTTCTTGTCGGTGAAATTGCAAAAAAAAAATTTGAGAAGTATTTCAGCTAATTTCTCTTTTTATCGAAATCTATAAATATAACGGAAATGAATGAACACGCTATATCATTATAATAACACAGGGTTATTCAAACTGAGTACTCGAATCCACTATGTTGCCATAAAGGGGTTCTCTGCGGTTCATGGGCAAAAACATTCGCTAGCTACCCTTCGCGATGACTGCATTACATGACTAAATTGACTGTGAATTATTTAATTCTTTGATTGAAATGCATCTATTTTTCTCATTGGTTGAATTTTTCTTATCAAACGAACGAATAAAATAATCAATGGAAATAAGATAAAAAAGCAAAACTACAC